CGTTTATTGAATTGTGAATGGGCATATGTCTGCACTGTAGTGATTGGGACTAAAATGTTTTCAATGAACAGCTGTGAAATGCCAGTAAGACAACTGAATGAAAGAGTAAGTATATATATAGCGAAATGACTTATATGGAAAATCCACTAGTAATACTTTAATAAATGTTTGTTAACTGAATAGAATAGAACTAGAGAATATTATTCTAAGAGAATAAATTCTAAAGTACTTAGTTTGTACACCATATACTTAATAACGAATTCCAAGTTCGTTTTGAATACAAAATAAGAGCCATTTGTTAATCAGAGAGTACTTTTCTAGTCCTTCAATGAAAGAGGAAAAGAAATAACAATTTCAGTTAGAAGCACGCCAATCATGCAGAACATTTTCCCTCCAAAGGAATTTTCCCTCCTGAATATGGAGCGGGTACCTCACCTGATGTATTAAAAATTCAGTAAGTTTTTATGTACATCGTATCGGTTGTATAGAAAATGCCAGAGGAATGCACATTGCATTTATTCAAACAATACCAATACCATTCCTCATTAGAAATGCCGGACAGCAGGCGTTGAAAGGTTTTTCTGCCTCTTAATATTTAACAGGATACCGATGGCAACGAAAGCAGTCACTAAGCATTCCTTATTCAATGCAACAGAGCTGTCGATATACACATTGCCATCCCCGTTGGGGAATGGGGGCCATTTGACACCCTCGCTAGTCAAGATAGCCAATACCCAACAGCGCCATAGGAGACTAAAAGCAGCACCAACACAAGAAGAAATTGTGTTTGCCTACAGCCATTAATATCCCCCAGCCATGCCACCGATAAACGCCCAACCCCCTCAACCCAAGGCCATTCTGTTATTTGACAGTTTTGACGAAACGCTGGCCTAAAACGTCGGAAATTGACTAATAATGGGGTTAATCGCCAATAACGATCATTCCTGGGCAAGGTAAATTGTCTGTTAAACATGAAGCCATGGAACCAGCTACTAGGCATCAGTTCAAGTATGGTATTACACATATTCACCCATTACATTTACAACCCAAGGGTATAACACATAAGTGTTTTTCACACAGAAAGCTGAAAGCAAATATATCTTGTCTAAGTATTCAAAGACTGATTACGTTTTAACTTCTTATCAGCTAACTTACATATTTTTAACAATGATATGTAAAATAAATACTTCTCTATTAACTAATATTATGAAAAACAAGAAAGGAAGCAAACTTCGGCAAGCCGAAGTTTATATACCCTTGCAGCTATTTCAAAAACTAAATACTCTTTAAAACGTTTAAATTATGATTTACTTGCGTGTATGTTTAAAAACATTGAAGCTATGATGATTTGCAGCTTAATTATTCGATAGTTCCTATGGCAGCTATATGCTATAGTCGTGTGATTTGATGAAATTTAAAACGTAATTCTAAAATATTTAACCATTACTATATCTCGAAGAACTAAAAAAAAAAATAAAAAACAGAAAAGTTATAATTTTTATACCCTTGCAGAGGGTATTATAATTTCAGTCAGAAGTTTGCAACGCAGTGAAGGAGACATCTCCGACCCTATAAAGTATATATATTCTTGATCAGCATCACTAGTAGAGTCGATCTAGCCATGTCCGTCTGTCCGTCCGTCTGTCCGTCCGTCTGTCCGTCTGTCCGTCTGTCCGTCCGTTTATATGCAAACTAGTCTCTCAGTTTTAAAGCTATCTGCATGAAACTTTCCCAAAAGTTGTCTTTCTATTGCAGGTAGTATATAAGTCGGAACGAGCCGGATCGGACGACTATAGCATATAGCTCCCATAGGAACAATCGGAAAAATAAATGAAAAAAATTATAACTTTGCTGTTTTTTAATTTTTTGTTTAGTTCTTGGACATATAGCAATGGTTAAATAATTCAGAATTATGGTTTAAATTTCATCAAAATCGGACGACTATAGCATATAGCTCCCATAGGAACAATCGGAAAAATAAATGAAAATAAATTATAACTTTGCTGTTTTTTAATTTTTTGTTTAGTTCTTCGACATTTAGTAATGGTTAAATATTTGCGATTTACGGTTTAAATTTTATCAAAATCGGACGACTATAGCATATAGCTCCCATAGGAACAATCGGAAAAATAAATGAAAAAAATTATAACTTTTCTGTTTTTTAGTTTTTTGTTTAGTTCTTCGACATTTAGTAATAGTTAAATATTTTCGATTAACGGTTTAAATTTCATCAAAGTCGGACGACTATATCATATAGCTTCAATAGGAACAATCGGAGAAATAAATGAAAAAAATTATAATTTTTCTGTTTTTTAATTTTTTGTTTAGTTCTTCGACATTTAGTAATGGTTAAATATTTCCAATTTACGGTTTAAGTTTCATCAAAGTCGGACGACTATAGCATATAGCTCCCATAGGAACAATAAAAATATATAAAAGACCTATCAAATAATTGAGCTGCAAATCATCATAGCTTCAATGTTTTTAAACATATACGCAAGTAAATTATAATTTTAATGTTTTCAAAAATGTTTAATTCTTGCAATAGCTGCAAGGGTATATGAACTTCGGCTTGCCGAAGTTTGCTTTCTTTCTTGTTTTCATTTATTTTTCCGATTGTTCCTATGAGGGCTATATGATATAGTCGTCCGACTTTGATGAAATTTAAACCGTAAATCGGAAATATGTAACCATTACTAAATGTCGAAGAACTAAACAAAAAATTGAAAAACAGCAAAGTTATAATTTTTTTTCATTTATTTTTCCGATTGTTCCTATGGGAGCTATATGCTATAGTCGTCCGATTTTGATGAAATTTAAATCGTAAATCGGAAATATGTAACCATTACTAAATGTTGAAGAACTAAACAAAAAATTGAAAAACAGCAAAGTTATAATTTTTTTTCATTTATTTTTCCGATTGTTCCTATGGGAGCTATATGCTATAGTCGTCCGATCCGGCTCGTTCCGACTTATATACTACCTGCAATAGAAAGACAACTTTTGGGAAAGTTTCATCCAGATAGCTTTAAAACTGAGAGACTAGTTTGCATATAAACGGACGGACAGACGGACGGACAGACGGACAGACGGACAGACGGACAGACGGACAGATTGACGGACAGACGGACATGGCTAGATCGACTCGCCTAGTGATGCTGATCAAGAATATATATACTTTATAGGGTCGGAGATGTCTCCTTCACTGCGTTGCAAACTTCTGACTGAAATTATAATACCCTCTGCAAGGGTATAAAAAGTAACGATCAATTCTTAAAAGCTTACTATGTTACTCAGCAAAAATTGGATTTTCAGTTAAATGTTAATCTAAGTTATTATCATAGTAAATAAGCCGGAATTATAATTATTAGTTTGCCTTCACCAAATTTTAATCATATTAGGAATCATAATAAATTGCATTCAAGAAATATTCAACTTTTCGCCCACATAAGCACATTAAATTGTTCAATAAACTGACAAAATGAACTAGAGCAAATATTTCACTTTTCGTTATTAAACATTTTCACCCCTAATGCAATTTTAAACAATTATCGACAAAATATACTAGTTTTTCAAGCAAAATGTTGCTCACTTTCTGGAAACGAGTTTATAGTTGGTCTTGACTCTAGACTTATTAAATTTCCAATTATGGGTCATTCAAATTCGAGCGAGCTTTATACTCTGTCGTTATCCACCAAAAATGAGTAACAATAATTTATGTTGTCAAGCATATTGTGTTTAATGGTTTCTCACCTAAGTGTTTAGTCTAACATAATGTTTTTGATGGCCATAAATGCAATTAACACGTGTTCATTTTCAATGGCACAAGTTTATGATTTTAAAATTTTGATAATCCTTGCAAAGAATAAATATTTTAAGCGGATATTCAGCTGTCGTTACGCTGTCTTAACCACTTTTTTTTCTGTGGTCAGCTAAAATAGGTCTTGCACTTGTCCAGGTCGTATAATTTTCACATCAATGAGAATGCTTTGACTTGCCTTTTGGGCAGCGGGCGAGGCGCTCATTAAGCTTAATTCGCTGGGAATCAAATATTTAAGAGATAACCCAGATTGAGACAGGGAAACTCACGTGTGAGTGTGTGCTGCGAAGGCTGATTGAAACTGACACCCAAGGCACTAGCACCTCGCAATGGAGGAATATAAAATGGCTGGACGAACCGAACGCCATGTCCTGTCCGCCGCCACTGTCCTAACGAGCAATTTAGCCAACTCATTGAAGCGGAATTAATGGCAATCGATTTTGTTTGGCGGTCGGCAGACGGAAAACTGTACGGACTGTACGAACTGTAGGGGGGCGAAGGGAAAGGGTCTTCATTAGTGGCAGGACAGCAGAAGGATACCGACAGGACATGCCCCACTTGCCCCTTTCATGTTCGTGTTTGTCTTAAAGCATCTCGCTTTCTCAATTAATTTTAATCGCTTAAGAAAGACTTAAGCTTTAGTGTGGTTTTCCTCCGTTATAAAAGTTTATTTTGTAAATACTTGGTTCGCTAATCGATATTTTAAGCGTGATTATATGCTTGTGCTTTAATGAACAAAGCTCTTTAAACCTCCAATTAACCACCAGATAAAAATACTTAATGAAGAGGATGACAAACATTGCTTCGGACTTTTAAGTAAGTTGTAACTCTTGGCGACCATAAAATAAAATTGACTTTCTTTGCAGGCCAAAACACTTCCTTCCTTCTTTAAATTTTAATTTAGCGCAGAACTTGCTCTCCTTCCTGGCAATGCCACAAATGATCTGCCCAAATGTTTCAATCAACAACTCGGTGAAATGTTAACACTTGCTGACTTGTCCAACTTATGCTTTTCCCCTTTTCGGCTGGCAGTATATGTAAATGGTATATGTATGGACTTATCCCTGTGAAACTTTTCCTGTCTCGCTTGGCTTCGTTTTTTATTACGTTTGGGGTTATGCAAAAAGTTTCACATAAATACAATTCTTGCTCTTTTCAATTTTTACTTTTTTACTTTCAGCTGAATCGAGAAGGATAAACTTTCGGCCCGCTATGCCCAGCAATCGTGTGGGTCCGCCGACTGAGTGCGTGGAGTGCGAGGAGCCCGGTTGCAGATAGAAATTCAGATTCAAATTCAGATTCAGCGTCAGCTACAGATACAGATACAAATTAATTTGGCGCCCGAGCTGAACATGTGTCAAGGCTGCGGGCTGCTTGAAGCTGCTTCTGTAACAACCGCGACGATGCTGTTTGATTTCGGCCAACTTAGGTAAACAGGCAAGGCGAAGGCACACACCACCACACACTCAATCGCAGGCAAAGCCGCAGAAAAACAAACCAATAAACCAGGCAAATGGCAGCGCCCGTCGACGAGAGTGTGCTGAATGCACTGAGGGGCGTGACCTCCGCCCACACCCGCCTGCCCAAGCCGCTGCTGATCAAGATCTACGTGGCCAGCCTGAAGCAGGAGTTCAACCAGGAGCGCCGCATGCTCCTCGAGCTGGTCGGTCCCGAGCTGCAGACCCTCTACGATGACCGACAAATCGAGGTGGGTGCCATTATCAAAAAGTTGGTCAAAATTAACGCAGGACCGAAAATATTTATTTCAAAGTGCATATATTTGGTTTTTCTATTTTTCTCTCTGGGTGTACAATAATTTAAAATATTGGTCTAGAATAACAGATGTCCAGAGAACACATAAATTTAACTTTTATTTTTAATTGTGTATACATTTTCTTAACTTTGTTATCTGCTATCAGAATTAAAAAATAAATTAAACTAGACAATTTGAAACATGAAATATAAAAAATAATTGTAAAATTTAAAACATTTTAATTTTTTTAGAAAATAATATCTAGTAAACCATTAGGGTTTGGCTTTGTTTGGCTTTCAAATAAATTTTTTACACATTTTTCTAATATATTTCTCAATATCGTTCCCTGTTTCCCCTTAGCTGGAGTTCGTGGACATGCACTTTGGCACTGGCGACCTGGAGATTAACCAGCTGGAGCGGGATCCCTATTTGATCGATGACTATCTGCACGAGATCGACACCTGCCACGCCCACACAAAGAGTGTCTTTTTTATGGTGCTCGTGGGCGATGGCATTGGTCGCCAGCTCCTGCCCACCAAAATGGATGAGGACATCTTCACCGCAGTGCTGGCCGATCCACAGATCACAGCTGATCAAGAGGCCCTACTAGTTAAGTGGTACGAAAATGATGAATCTCAATCGAAGCGGCAACTTAAGCAGGATTATCGGTGAGTAAACTTAGTATTCCAAAATAATTATCTCAATTTGAAAAACCATGTGAAAAAGTTTAGCTCTAAATAAGAAAAATCAGATAGCATTTATTGAGAATATTGATTGGTTACACACGTCCCCCAGAAAAAATGACGCCAATCCGCTTTGAAGGCTTTTTTTTCTATTTGCTAGTGCAGTAATCCAGAATTCAAACTGCAAACGAAATAGTTATGGACAAAGTTGCTCAATATTTGTCAAAGTTCCGTTTCCGTTCCATTGTCTGAAATTAGCCATGTCCCACATTCGTTTTGTTTGGCAACTCAATTGGTGCTGAACTTTGGCAAATATTGTGATTGGCGGGTAAAAAGGGTTGGGGACATAGCAAATATGGAAATGTCAACACTTGATCCGACGACTGGAATTAGTCCACAAGTTATTGATTGGCATACATTATTCCAGACTGCTGCCCGTGGATGCCTGGCTTGCAGAATCACAGCAGATGCAGCGATTTCTGGAGGTGACCCTGCAATCGCTGGTCCAAAAGGCCAGTGCATCTGACCGATCGGCGGATTTTGTGGATCGGGTTCAGCAACTTCGACGCACACAGATCGAAAGAGAGGTCACACAAGCCATGGGTAAGTAGTTTTCTTACTTTTAACATTCATTATTTTAAATACTTTTTTACTTATCTTTTATTAGCTCTTACTAGCGAAAAAATCTTGGCAGTTTTTCGAGAACGTGCCGCGCAGAGCAGCAAGCGTGATGTCGAGGCTTTAGAAAGACTGCGGAAAATCAAGGACGAGCTCACCATGAACCTCTCAACGGATAATCACACAACTCTGGTGTAAGATATATCAATTTTATATTTAATTCCAAAGAAATCTATGAGATACTTTTTAAATATCACTCAGTATTTCAAGTCACTTATAGAGTAGTATAAATTATACATCAGCCTTTTATCACATTAATACCTATCACAATTCATACAACTTAAATAAACCGTTCTCCATAAAGTGAAAAAGTTTCATTATCATAACTTTTACCACCTCCGAATGGGTAGACAAAAACGCATTATTAGCTCATGCAAAGTTAACATACATTAAAACTTTGTTTTTGCCAAATCACTTTTTTACTCAAAAGCTCTGACGATTTATTCAGAGTGAAAAGTATTTATGCTATAAAAACTTTTGATTAAAAGGCACCCAATTTACTATATTAAACAGTTTGAAGCAAATAGCATAAGCTGCTAACTACCATTAAAAGTAATTATATTCATAACAATACAACTTTTTTGTATAGTACTTTTATACAATAATTTAAATAAATAGTCTTGTTCAATACCTTGTTCAACAAATTTAAATTATGTTGTTTCAAACTGTTTTGTTATCAACGGGTAACAGAAGAAAACATATGTTGTGTGCATTTTTCGTTAAGATTATATGTTATATAAATTGTAATTAAAGTATTTCATTTATATCAATAACAAGCGAGAACAATTAATTAAACACCATTGGTGTTTTGTAGACATTTGTCAGGACAATTAAGTATTTTGGGTTACTCGAATGTAATTATGGGCCACCAGAGATTCGTGATTATGATTACCTGCTAATTACGGCTGTGGCCACTTTACAGGGTGCCTGGTAGTGCTGCCAGCGAGGCCATCGATCCGGACAACGAGGACCACGAGTCCTACCTGAGCAAGTTCAAGAACAAGGTCACCGACAAGCTGCGCCTGCTAATCGAGGCACACATAACCAATGATCCCGACGTAATCAAGGGGAGGAAAAAGACTGTGCAGGTGAGTTTGGCCAGCCATCGGAGGCCATTAGTTCAACAGACAGGTAACAAAACGCCTGGGGCCGCGAATTAAATTAAATGTACTTCTCTCAGCTTTCTCCCCACTTCTCTAAACCGCTGACCACTTATTTAATCAGCAGCAATTCTGATTGTTATTCGTTGGTGGGCCAACGGCTGAACCGAAGAATCATAAATTAATTCCACGAATTACGCTCAAAGGAGCCGGCCTTTATGATTCTGTTTTACCTTGTTTTTTATGCTATTTTTGCCGAGCTTTCCTTGGGTGTTCGCCATTGCTTACGGTTCCGCTTATGGGCCACGCCACAAAGTCTCTTGTTCTTAGCTAATGGCTGCGTGTTAATTAAATGTTTGGCATGTGGCAGGTGAATTAGGCTTCAAAGAAAAGTTTCTGGCATGGGAGAAAACTTCTATAATATGCAGAACAGCAAACAATTCTTTGGGCAGTTTAGAAACATTTTAAAAGTAAAATGACTTTAAATAAATAGAAAACTGAACTTTCAGCATATGCGTATAACGATAAAGTTGTCATTTGCAGAATAACACAATTTTGCGAAATACAAATAAAACACAAGCCACTCTTAAGAATAATGTCATAAGAATGTGTGTAGGAATGAAAACTTGTCATAGATTCTCTTTATATCAGCTTTTACCTGAAATATGTGGAGATATTCGTTGGGCAATTGCAATTTCCAGGAAAATACAACTAAACCTGCTCGTGTGCATTTCCATCTTATACATACAGTTGTGATCAAAATAATATTTCATAAAACAAAATGTTATTTTTCAATTGTTTGTTCTATATCCAAAATAGTAAAGATCCAAAAAATTAATTTTATATGTGTCTTTGGGTTGTTATTAAATGAATTTTAAAATCAAATTGAATTGCAATTTGAACAAATAAATTGATGGCACCATCCAAATAAATTACTTATATTCTTAATGAGTAAGACATTTGTCTTTATTCGTAAAATCTCACATAATTTCAAAAGCAATTGTATTTTTTGAATGCCTTTCAGTTGGATTGTTGCTATGATTTTGATCACAGCTGTATATGTGTGCAAAGGCACAAAATGGATGCCCGAAAAAGTATGCTTTGCATATGACAGTTGTCGAAATTGAGTTTGAAAGAGATTTCCTGCAATAAAAACCAATTGGAATCGAGATGGCCCACAAAATGGCAAATGGCTGAGGAAATCGGTTAGCTCAAGGTTGCCGCTGCTCTCCGCCTTTGAGCTCCACTCAGATCGCCTTCCGTTCCAATTGCGGTTTTCTGCATGGCCCTGCATTGCATAAGTTCACTCGTCGCCACTTTTCGCCCCCGTTCACGCCCCTTTGCCCCACCAAACGCCACCTCCTGTTGGCTTTTGTTGAAAGCATTTAACATTTCAGCTCGGTCGCAGCCGAAGGACGAGGCGTAATGCGAACTGGTCGCTGCCATTAGCGGGCCATCACGAGTGCTGCACTTAGAACATTTTTGGGGCCCATGAAAGTTCAGGAAAACCATAACAACAAACTTATACCTGTATTTTTTAAATATGATTTTGTTTGCTTAATTATAATAACGGCTTAATAAACAGATAGATGGAAAGATTCCAACATTTTAAGATCAACATTAACTATGAAAAGTATAAAATATTTACGCTGTTTAAGCGAAAATAAAAAAAATTTTAAGTACTTTTGAGGAAAGTTTTTCGAAGGCTTCAAGGACTGAATAGAAACTTTAAAGATATTTTTTAACTGCGATGCTCAAAATAAAAAAAATATGCTTTTTGAAAGTAATTAATTATTTAAAAAACAATTTTTTTAATTTTAATATTTTTATTTTCGCTTTAGAGAAAGAGGAAACTAATTATTATATTTAATAAATGTTTGTTATTAATTTTTTATCAAAAAACATAATTGTGGCATCAAATTTTGTACTAAGGTATACTTGAATATTTACATTAAACTTACCAACCATTTGTTTTCTCTATAAGTAAGTGCTAACAATTTTCTTTGTGTGCAAGCACCAGTTTCAAGTTACAAGTTGCCGGCTCACTGCTCCGAGCTCTAGCCTCGCCTTCGTAGTTTTCCTTTCACGGCGTGGCTTGCCCCCTCCATCGCCTCTGACATGTTAACACACTTACACTTGGGCACAATGTAGCCACGCCCAGCCAGCCAGGTCGTCCCTTGTTTGCACTTAACGGTGCAGCAACATAAACTGCATTCAGGCCCGGTCAACACCCCTCCAATTCCCATTTCCCCCTGCCGATGCGGATAAAAGTGTTGCAAGGGAAAAGCCCATCTCCACCGGCTCTTTGACAAAATGTTGTGGCATTCGTTGCCGCAACCAAGAAATATGCAAAGTGTGTAGCCCCCTTCTCCTCCCCCTCCTCGTTCGCCCACACTTCGCCATAATCCCCACCTGGTGCAACACGTCGTATGAGCAACCCCTGAGTGTGAGTGAAGACCACGCACTCTGCTGAAATGAAATTAAAGCAACTCAAATGCCAACTAATTAAGCGGCTGCTGAGGTGGCTTTAAGAGGGTAAGTGAAAGCAGCTTCTGGCTATATTGATTCGGTAGTCTTGTCGCCGAGAAATGCATTACACAGATGCTGTCAATTGAGATTTACAAAGCAAAAGCCGCTTACTGGCAAGAAATGGCATAAGAGACTCCGCCGCAAAGTCAGACACAGTCTGAGCTCGAGATCCTGGCAAGGACAGTGTGATGACTACTTGTTAGTGGCAAACATGCCATTGCCAGACAAGGTGAGTGACACTCACAAAAAAAAAATGAAGTTTCATGTAACAACTATAAAATTGCCCTGGGACATATTTACGTAATGTGACATTTTTAGCAAAATTCTTTGCTAAGGAGCACTTTTATGTCATTTTCTGATTTAAGCTAATATTTCAAACAATAATCTTTTTTTTTTATCATTGTACCAAAAAGTTATAGACACCTAAAGTAATTTTACAAAAATGTTATGGACAAAAATCCCTTTAACTTTTAAATTTTAAGTTTGTTCTTCTAATTAAATTTTGTTATTATTTAAAAAGGTATTATTTTAACAGGTATTTATCCACTTAGTGCTTATTAAATGCCTTAATTGCAATTGTTTTTCTCTTATCACTTGGTACTGGCCGGGTTTTATTATAAATTAGTGTACTAGTCACTAAGTACAACCTACTCAAGCCCAGCAGGTGGGTGAAGGTAAGGGTAAAAGAAAAGGCAAAGGCAAAGGTAAACAAAGTTACGTGGCAAACACGCTGAATCCCACTCACTCGCATTCAGGCTGATGGGGAACTGATGTTGATGCTGATGCTGATGACGAGGTCTGTTCTTGGGCACACTTGGCAATACATGTGCGAGTCTATTTACTCGCTGGCAGAACATCATCAACAGTGTGAGTCGAGGAGGAGGACCCCTTAGAGGTCACATGCGGAAGCTGGAAGCTGATCCGAGATGAATAACTAAAGAGAGTGGATGTAAAAGACACCGGAATAGTGTAACGTGGCTGCTGGTGGCAGGTGGCTGGCAAATCCAATTACGGACAAGCCACACAAGCTACCGGCTGGCAACCATTCAAAAATAAATTTCTATGCAAATGATTCCCGTATGCCTGCCATCAAAAATAATTGCATTCTGGAAAAATGTCATACAGACCGCTGACCGTGTTTAACAACTGGAATTTGAATTAAAATAATATTTAACGCATTTTATAATTATTCATACGTTGGTTTAACTTCTGAAAACGAGTCATTTAATTGATATGTTAAACTCTAAAAAGCGGACTGCGAATCGTATTGATTTAACTTGTTACCTGTCACATATGTGGGGATAATTGATAGCAGCAGATGGCATCACATGGTAATTAAACATCAAATTAAATTCACATTTATCACGCTCAAATTATGCTGAATGACAAATAGAGTATGCAATCTTAATTGAATATATCATCTTAAACCTGTAAAAGGAACATATAAATGTAAATTTATAGTTTTAAAGTTTTCGTCAAAACTTATTTTTAGTGGCAACAGTACGTATGAGTGATATGTGCATTGAAGACATACCCATAAGCCCATAAAAAAAATTAAATGCAAAAAAGTCTTCTTTGTATATCACAAACACAGCACATAGTATGAGCTTTTGAAACTAGGACCATAAAGTGTTTATACAGAACATATATTACGCACATAGTTTGAGCTGGTGGGACTAGAACCATAAAATGTTCTCACAGAATTAGACCGACTTAGTGTTGTCGTTTAATACCAATTATATATATTTAGAAACACATTTTATAAAAATAGCTTTGTCATATATTTTGTACTTTTCCTTGTGATTCCAGGAAATCTTTCACGAGCACGCGACGCACCTGCGCATCCTGCGGGAGCACACGGACAGTGCCGCCCTGGTGGAGTCGCGGGTGCCGCAACAGCTCCGCCAGAATCTGATGGCCAACTTTCGGAACGGAAGTCGACATGCGCCGTACTTCATCTGCGGGGCGGACGGGAGCGGCAAGAGCGCCATTTTGAGCCACCTGTACGTGCAGGTGGGCAGTTGGTTCGGGTCGTCCACGCGCGTTCACCGGGTGATCCGCTTTGCCAAGGCCACGCCCCGATCCGCCTACAACCTGGAGCTGCTGCGCGTCGTGTGCCAGCAGATCTCCATAATCTTCAACATCCCGGAGGGCTATTTGCCCAAGGACGCCTCCTTCGATCCGCTGTACATCAACACCTGGTTCCAGAATCTCCTTCGGAAGGTGGAGGACATGGCCAACGATGTCCTGTTCCTGTTCATCGACGATCTGCATCTGCTGAATCCGCTGGACTGCGATATTGTCACGGCCCTGTCGTGGCTGCCCACCTCGCTGCCCTGGAACGTTCAGATCATCTGCAGTTCCACCACGCCCGTGGAGCAGCTTAAGTTCACCCCGATGCAGCGGGATCGCTTCAAGTCCGCCGAGTACCAGTTCGACCTGAGTCTGGGCGACTACGCCGCCCGGCTCAAGATTCCGCCGCAGTGCATCCCGAGCGACGTGAGCTTCGCCCTTTACGTGGAGCAGCAGTTCGACCAGCTGGAGCGGCACTACGGCCGTCAGGCGGTGGGCGGACTGGCGTCCTACATCACCTGCTCCGAGTACGGGCTGAGTGAGACGGAGCTGCTGGAGCTGCTCATGCCCACCGACGACCCGGAGTCACTCATCGAGACCAAGAGCGGTCACTTCTCCTTTGCCACCTTCAAGAAGATCCACCGCGAGATGGGTGAGTAAATGATTTCCGAAAGGATTGTCGGGTATTAGGATAAAGATATGGCTTATAAACCTACTTAATTTTCATAGAAACTAAACTATTGGGTAGAAAATTTTATCAATAAGTTGAGTATTAAATTAATATTACGAAAGTATCAAAACGAAACATATGTGGTATTAAAATTAGGCATTAGACAACAATTTTAGAATCTTGGGTATAAAAATGAAACTAAAAGGGTTGGGGTATATTAATTAAAATTGAATTATTCTTTAATACAGTCTGTAGTTTCTTTTCAAGACATACTTACTTATTCTTTAAGTATTCTTTTCAATAAACGTAGGGTTACGTTAAGGTTAATATACTATATATGTTAGACATATATTCAAAGGCACTTGGGTTAAATGTAATTAGCCTTAGACATTTGTTAAAAATCAATTGACACTTAGTAACCAGATACGTTTATTAATAGTGTACTGAATACATCTTTTAAGCCAAACAATTTTTTTTCGATGTTTGGCAGACCTATTGCTGCTCCTGCACGACAAGATAATGTCCGGCAAGGTGCTGATCCAGTGGCGTCACAACTACTGCTCGTCGGTGGCCAAGCGGCGGTACATGGACGTCCAGAGGACGCGCAGCCTGCACAGCGAGCTGGCCAACCTGTTCTTCCCGCAGGACGAGGACGAGAGCACGCTGGAGAACGAGTCGAATCGCAGCGAAACGAAGTCGGTGATCAGCCTGAAGGAGAGGGAGCGTGAGAAGGACTCGCTGTCGGCGGTGTCGGCCGTTTCCGCCGGGCGGAAGTCATCGTCCACCCATCACAACGACGACACCTCCACCTTCTACAATCCCATTGCGGCGGATGTCAGCTACAGCATGCGGCACGTGGAGGAGAGCTGGCACCACCTGATGCGATCCGACGACACCACCCGGTTCAAGCAGATCGCTGTCTGCAACTTCGACTTCCTGCTGGCGGCGGTAAGCTACCCAATTAGTTGTTTCCCTTCTACCCAGCTGGAAACGCAATCAGTGAAACACCACCAGCCGTCAGTTGCTCTTAATTGCCTGGCTAATTTGGCAATCAAACTGACAGTTTTCGCTTACATGTCAAAATTTAGCACCAGCAAGTGGGCACAAAGTTAATTTGCTCATTCAAAGGGACAGCTGACGAGTGAGTGCTGAAAGTGAGTGCTGAAAGTGAAACTAAGTTATGGGGAAAAATGGTTTATTTATTATTGATTGTGCTTTCCGTCACTCTGTAAATCATTGAGTGGAAAATTCAGTTTTATAGTTCAAATTTAGATTGGTAGCTTAAAACTGGTCAACTGTATCGAAGAAAAAAGACAGCTTACTATTAAAATGAACTTTTGTAACATTGTACAGTGACCTTAAAAATAGGTTGTAACCAGAAGACTTTTAAGCTATTCTAATTTAATTTTTCGCTAAAATAGCTTACACAACCACTCTTATTGTTTTACACCAGGTAGTAAATAAATGCTCTTATTCCCTTTAATGAACATTAGGTTAAATGTACATTGAAAGGGCTGCTTTAAAATCCCAAAAATATTTTTCTGTGAAGAAAAAGTCTGACTTCAATAAATCCCAAATGCTGCCAAATAGCTTAATACTTTTAATTGAAAAAGACAGGCAGATAGACAGCAGAAGTCGAGCTCAGTAGGAGGCTCACAAAAGTATAATGTGATAATCAAATTTGAGAGGATTTTCGGTTCAAAAAATTCCAAATTTAAGCCAAACTCGGGCAACTGTCGGTTCTTTTTTTTATTTCGCTTGCCTAATTGTTTCACTGCAGTTGGCCATTTGCCATCCAGCTCATTTAAATTTAATTCCATTTTGTTTTATTCAGTCGGGAAAGTATGCAATTAAACTTTTGTGTCTCTCTCAGCATGTGTACGTGGAAGTTTTATTTTTTGATGTGAGCCAATCAAATTAACGATTTTGTTTGTGTTTTTTTTTGTATGCTTTTGTAAAATGAATTTTCTGATCAATTTTGAACTGCCAATATTTGCATTCCCGACGGCAAACATGGAAACCGTACATAGAGAAAACATGAAACACACATAAATAAAATATGAACCATTTTGCATCTAATTAACGCCCAGTCCAATTGAATTCAAAATCAATTAAATCGATTTCACACTACTTAAATTGTGTAAATTGAGAGGTCTTTAAATGCGAGGACTTTGTTTATATGAAGTATTTTAAAAATGTCTGGAATTATAGGGATAAAACAGGGTAAGACATCTTATTTAATTAACTCAGCTTTGTTGTCGCTTAAATTCCCAAATATAAAGGCTGTCAAGAATGCCTTTCTATTAACACAAATATGTAAACACACTTTGGATGAAAAGCACACCAGTTGACATTAAGTGAGAAGGGTTGTATTCTATTGTTTTTATTATTTATTGATCGAAATCAGACATTTATTGCTAAATTGACACTTAAGCTGGTAGAATAAAAATGACAGCACGGGTAGATTCAGAATTAATTTCATTTATTTTATGTAGGCATAGCAAAGAACTGAATAAGTGATTTTTATTGAGATGAAAATTGTGTTGATATCTACTTTTGACATTTGCTTGTTGGTAGTTAATTAGGCTCGTATTCGAAATATGTAAGTCGGTTTTGGGCAACTTTCATAGGAAAATATGACCTTTGGCTGGAAAAGCTTGACTTGTTTGCATTTATTGTTAAGGGCATTTTACAGAATCTCTTTTGCATGTTTCTGATTTTATCTTCTGCTAATTTATTTATAATTAATTTCAGGTACAAACGGTGTCGATCAGCTACCTGCGCTGCCTGATTGAGCACGTACGCTGCTACATCCTGGACAGGGATATCGAGCTGATCTACTACACGATCCGGAAGTCGAGCGATGTCCTTACCCGCGACCCCATGCAGCTGGGCTCCCAGCTGATATCCTGGCTGCGTCCGATCAGCGAGCACGACGACGACGACAACTCGCTGCTGAGCATGACGGTCCGCTCGGCGACCGCCTGGTGCGACGGCTATGCGGTACCGCTCCTGGTGCCGCTCACCGGCTGGCTGCCCGCCCCTCTGCCCTCGCAGATCCGCACCATGACGGTATCCGGAACGGGATGCATTCGGGCCGTCTTTCTGGCCCCCACCAAGCAGCATCTCATCCTGGCCACCAGTTCTGGCGACGTGCAGCAGTGGCACATCATGAGCAACTCGCTGGAGCACATCTTCAAGGGTGAGTGCGGGGAGTAATGGCAATGGCAATGGTCCGCCATCAGACGAGTTAATCTGCGACATCTGCTCCTCTTTAACTTGCTGCAGGACACACTGCGGCAGTCACGTGCCTCCTGGTGGCTCCCCAGTCGGAGTCGGAGTTGCTGCTGACCGGCTCCGAGGATGGCACTGTGCTCGTGTGGCACGTAGGGTTCCGCGAGCGACGGGCGCACATTAAGTGAGTACACTGCGAGAAAAAAATGGGGTTTTAAGAACAAAATATTCAATTTTTCTTAGCTTTAAACAATTGTACATCTGCTTTCCAAATTTTTAAATTTTCCATTCAAGTTCATTAACAAATTACCACAGCTCATGTATTTGGTACCACTATACTTTCCGAAAATAATAAATACGGACTAAAAAAATATCAGGGACCGTAAATAATAAATGTTAAATTAATTAAAAAAAAAACAAAATCTAATATATAATAATACTTGTTTTTTGAGCGATTTAATAATACTTAAAGTATAATCATTAAGTGTGATTTTTATCGTTTATAATGACTACGGTCCCTGAAAAAAAATGCATTTTAAGCTGTGTTGTACCTATTTTAATAACATAATTAATAAAAAAAAGTTTTATGTTTCTCTTCTCTTAATTTTAATGTTTTTTTTTTCTTTTTCTTTATTTTAATGGTCTTTTACTATTATAACCAAATTATATAAAACATACAAATAATATATTAAATATACTTTAAGATATAGTGAAAGACGTACAATGATTAACAAAGTTATAAAATAATATAATATCAGTGTAATCCAAAAAAAAAAAACGATTTCCAATTTAACAGCGATTTTCTGCTTAACTTAAGAAGCTTTTCATTTTCAATTTCCGGAGTAATGCCTTGATTTATAGACTTTATATATCTCTGTGTACGGAGCTCTTACGCCACTTTATCGTTCCCATTTTCCCATTCGTCGCCTCGAGCGTAATTTGTAAATCTCTGCAGGCGCAATTTATCTAAACACCCTCCGCTTCTCCGTTTACCCTAGCAACGCCCACACGGCTCCCATTACGGGCGTGGCAGCTGGCGTCAATAACACGCTCATCATAAGCAGCAGCGAGGATGCAACCATCGCCATCACGGACCTGGCCAGCGGCAAACTGGTGAGCAAACTCCTACACAATAGGCCACACATGCGGGGGATTCATTTAGCCCTAATGGCCATTTCCAGCGAATTAAAAGCGGGACAATAGAGACTTTATAACTTTTCAGGGAATTTTCATGCATGAATTAATTTGAAAACATTTTATGCGGTGGCGGTCACAATTTAATTCACACAGTAAAGTACCTGTTTGGTTGACCAAAGCACGCACTTAAATATCTTAAATTACTAATGTCATTAGCTCTGTGTGAATGCTTTTTGCACTATTTAAAGATCAAAAACATAATAAATTTACAGCTAAATCGTTAAGAATGATGCTATTCTTGTGAAAAATTTAATTCTTCAAACGTACATTACACCTTTACAGCTTTTACAATATATGAAAAATCATAATTTATAGAGATAAATAAAGACAACGCAATTCTCTTGCCTCAAATATTTTGGCCTCTTTTGTTTTATGCCAAGGAAAGATCTAAGCTTTTGATTAAGGGCTTAAGCATACTCAATAAATTAATAAATTGTTTACAATTGTTTGACAAAAGCTAGTTTACAGTTTTATGTAAAACCTTTTAATTTTACCCATTTGTTTCAATTTCTAGTGATTGAAATCGATTAGCTCCTGTAAATTAAAGTAAACAACTCGTCGATTGGTTTAATAAATTATTTTTGATGTCCCATTTAAAATTCATCGAACGCTTTTCATTTTTGGCAATGAAAAGTACATTTGCCGAAGCTAATTGCGAAACCACGCCGCAAACCAGATCAAACAGACCGAATGCATTTGCATAATTTCTCTGGCCCAAATAAATTCCACCTAACTATGCTGCATGCTCTCATCAAACAGAAGGCAAGGTCATGGGTGAATTTTGTGGGGTGAATGGCGTTGGGTTGGATTGCGTTGTTGCCATCTGGCTGACATGTGTGTGCTGTTCGTTGAACAAGGGCTTACACATTTCGCGGCCTGGCAAATGAACCGTGGCAGGAGGCTGCCGGTGGTGTCCTGTCCTGTCCCACTTTTCCGCTTCCGCCCAGCCATAAAGTCATACTAAGTAGATATTGCAGAGACGCACACATTAAACTGTGATTACCCACAATGCCTCATGTTTGCATATCAAGCATGTGTGTGTGTGTGTCTGTTTGTATGTGTGAGGGGGGAAACACGGTGTCCTTGTTCTCGTCCTTGTCGTCGTCCTGTTGACACACATATAGAAATTAGATTTATTGCCACTCGGTTGGCCTCGGGCATATTTTAAAGTCAATTTCGCTGACTCGGCTGCTGCAAGCCCTTCAGGATTTTTCCGCGACTCTAGATAAGCGGCTGCAATACTCTTCCCTTACGACCGGTAGTGCGACACATACTCTCACACACACCTACAATTACGTGCTTTTATCGAATTAATTACGATATTACGTATACGCCGTGTCATGCCGGCATTTCCATTCATGTCGCCGGCGGTTTTCTTTTTCGCTTTTTTTTTATTTTTTTGAAGTCCGGGTAATTTATCAAACTTTTGGCATTTTCCGCTGTTGCTTCCTGGGATGAGGAACTTTGCATGCTAGGTGGCAATTAACTTAATGCATACGAAATGTGACAAACAAAAGGGAGCACCAAATTGAGGGTAGCACATGTGACACGCAATCCAAGTCAAAGTCGGTTGGCAACAAAGCTCCCCTTTCATTGTCAGTGATTAATACTTAAAACCCCTTCGTTAAATTGGCATTAAAACCAAACGACGTTCGATGAGCATATATGACAAACAAACTGTCCTTCTCCTAATAAAATGTTGTAAATAGTAACAAAAACATTTCGATTTTGATGAATAAAGATAATAAAGCAATTAAATTATTTTCATAGGGAAACAAAATGTAGATATCCTTTAGAAGTCTCTAGTGAACTTAAAAATATTAACTTAATTTTTACTCAGCAGATTTCAAATTGACACATCTGCCAGATTCCGATTCGTTTTTGTATGTCATTGTATTAATTTATTACTCATATATTTTTAAAAAGAAACGGGATTGTTTTTTTAAACATATATATTGCAAAATAATGTTATTTTGATTGCATATTTCGCTGACGGTTTATTGGGGTTAAAACAACACGTTTAACGTTGCTTTATACAACTTCCCCCTTTTAAACTCAATTTATGCAATTATTTTTTCAGAGACATCGCATCACCCATCACCGCGGGCCGGTGAGTGGGATTTTGGTGGCCGGGGCCTGCGATGTCCTGATCTCGGGCAGTCACGACAGGACCATTTGCGTTTGGAACCTGGAGAACTTCTGCCTGCTGAATACCATGCAGATGACGAGTCCCGTGCTCCGCATCGACATTTCCTGTAACTCGGTGAGTTTATGTGCCCACAATTAATTGGGGAAAAATGACTTTTTATGGTTTAAAGTCGGCAAGTGCATCCTTGGCGAATTTACAACACACACTCACACCCCGGTCCTTATGTGGCTTTCTCAAATTTAACGAAACAAACTTCTGGCAAAGACAAAAGTTGAGTCCTTAAGGGGATTTCCCCACCCATCATCATGCTCAACTGAAAAGCTTTAAAATAAATTCCTGCGCTCGAGACGGGAAAAAAAACATAATAAAATGCGAGAATGGCAAGCTTTAAGCCATATTCCACTTGAGTGAAGCGTCCCAAGTAACCGAATAACGAAAAGCGCCATTTAAGGGAACATAAACGCCAGAGACGACATGGAAAAATGGCAAAAGACTGAAATCCTGCAAGTTTAAAGCATAGCACAATGGATGGACGACAAAATAGATTCGCTGAGATATGACAGATAAAGCTGGGTGACTTGACAACTTCGCGGGGAGCGGAGGGGTAGGGAAGGGGGTGGGTGAGGGGTAGAGTAAGAGTGAGCATTTTCCGGAGGAAATTCTAATAAGTGATTTCGGCTTGGGGACGCATTACGCGCCAAATCCTTTGTTGTCAATCAGCTTGACAAAAAACCAGATGTGTGTGTGGGTGTGTGTGTGTGTATGCGTGGGTTCGTGCCTGCCAGTGCCTCTATCAATAAGTATTGCATACTTAGCAGCAATTTGGCACGCAAAATAATATCAAGATACCGACGGGCAACTCCCCAACATTGATGTCCTTTGTCAATGGCAACTGTGCCACGTTCCCATCCCATCTCATCTCATCTTATCCCCACTCCATACAAGCCCAACGCCAGGCAATTGATGTGTGCTACCACTTGTCTCCCGCTCCATAAGTTTCCCCTCATCCATTTGGGGTGCCCCAGCAAATCCACAATAGACAGACAACAGGAAAAAGCAACTGTAATTCAAGGTGCGCCCGGGCTGCAGCTCCTGGCTCAAGGAAATCTCCTAGGATAACATACCACTCAACAGTTTATGCACTGAAAAAAAGAATGCTTAACTTTAGACCTCCTATTGCAAAGCAAAAATAACGAAGCATTTAAAAAATGCGATCTAAACTAATCAAACACCTTTATACCAAATCGCAAAGTGTCTTTATTTACCATATACATATTCCTTTATGGTATATTTAATAAATACCTTGAACTACCTTTCTAAACATTCAAAGTTAATTTTTTTTTTATTCCAATTTTTTTATAAGCTTTAAAATCTAAGTTTTAAAAAACATTTTTCCGAGTGCCTAAGCCATCTCGCATTTCAGACAACAGAACAGCAGAACTGAAAAGCCAAAGACAAAGTAAGATATAGACCAGGAGAGCGATTCAATTACCCGTGGACTTTGGCGGGCTCCGGCTCCTTCAGATCGAAAAACTCGTGGTGTCCTTTGCCGTCACGGAAAATACAATTTCACACATTAAACAAAAGTGATGGCGAAAATTGAGGGAAAATTGCCTATAAGCAGGCGGAAAAATTGTTTCGCGATAACAAGGACATCTCCTGTTGGGCTGGACTTTCTTCCCTTTCCAAATTGAAATGTATTTTCGCACAGACATGAGTACATGCATACCATATAACGATATACGTACATGTATATACACACGAACACTTCAGTTTGTGGGTAGAGGAGCCCCTTGGGCAGGATTCTTAGCCAAGGAAAATGGCAAAAGGAAATCAACTTTCTTGCTCTTTGGCCTGCATCCTGATAGCTTCGTGGCACGGCAGTGACCCAGCCACGCCCCTCACCCGCCCCCTGGGAGAGCTTCCTGTAAGCTGGCCTCAAATTGAAATGCTTCAGCCTGTGTTGGCTGTGTTGGTAAAATGCAATTAATTAATTTTCGATTACCTCGTCAACGACCGTTAATGTGCAGAGAACTCAATCCATAATTATGACGAAAATTGTTAATTAATCAGCCTGAATGGCTCAAAAATAAAAATTCCATCACGAATTTTATATGAACCAAAATGTATTAAAAACTGTGGTCATTACCAAAGGATGTTTAAGGGTTTTTTTAAATTACATATTAAATAATATACAAGGAAACAAATTTCTAATCTTTTCGAATGAAACATACATGAAAATACACTATTAAATGTGTCTAAAAGTATGCAATATGTGCTTTCAATTCGGTTATCCGATAGAATTGTAACCAAAGTCCACGTTTCTATTTTATATTGCATACTTTTAGACATATCAATAATTTATTCCAATTATTGTATTTCCTTAGCGATTTTTGTAACACATTTTTTGAACATTTGCACTTATGAATTTTAAAAGTGCATATGTTTTATATAACTTTAATATGAATATTATTTTCTTAAACTTTCAGGTTTTCCTGTTGGCTTTGTGTGAGGACAATGCGTTGTATGTTCGTACTTTGGCCACCGGAAAGGAGCTGCATACTCTTAAGGGACACAAGTCGAAGGTGAGTTGGAGGTAGCCTCTTTCTGGATACTGATTCTAGGTATTTTAACCCCCAGATCCGCACCATCTCGATCGGCAAGGATAGTCAGCGTTGTGTGGTGGGCTGCGATGACACGCGGGCGCTGATCTACGACATGCACGCCGGTAAACTGGTAAGATCCATGCCCCCGAATCCGGGGCCAGTGACCGCCGTGCATGCGATGGACAACGACGACTTCCTGGTCACCGTCGGCGGCAACAAGATTACCTTCTACTCGTTCCGCAACGAGGAGCTCTACGTGAATCCCTACTCGCGTCATCCGCGTCGCAAGCGCAGCTTGAAGCGCCATGCGCAGGCGCAGCGATCGCCGTCGACCACATTGCCACCGATCACCTGCTTCGACCTGTCCCGCGACTCCCAGCAAATGGCCATCGCCTCCGGCCGCAGTGTCCACCTGATGCGAATCAATACGCCGGAGTACCAGTGCACGCTGGAGGGTCATTCGGCCGGGGTTTCCTGCCTGAAGTTTGCGCCGAATGGCGAGTTCCTGGCCACCGGCTCCGAGGATCGATTGGTGCTCATTTGGAACCTGGCACAGGGGGAGATCAGCCATACGTTTAAGGGTCATGCCGCACCGGTGGTCAAGGTGGTGGTCCTGATGGACTCTCTGCGCGTTATCTCCACGGATCGGGACTCTCTGCTGCTCGTTTGGATGGCCCACTCGGGCAATCTGCTGCAGACCATCCAGGGACCCTACAAGAGTCTGGCCGTAACCAACAACATGCGGTTTGCCGCCTCCACCAACGGGGATAACACCCTCAAGATCTGGTCACTCACGCAGGAGGACGAGAAGTACTCCGTTTCGCACTCGGATGAGATCACCTGCTTCGAGATCAGTGCGGATAGTGCCCACATCATCAGCGGATCACGGGACATGTCCTTGAAGGTCTGGCAGGCGACGGGCGGCAAGCTCAGCCAGGTGCTGGTGGGGCACAGCGATGCCGTCACCTGCGTGGCCGTTTCGGTGACCAACAAGACCCAGGTGTTGTCCGGCTCCAAGGACACGAATCTCATCATCTGGGACCTGCTCACCGGCGAGGAGGTGCACACGCTGGCAGGACATCTGGGCCCAGTGATTGGCGTTAAAGTTTCGGCAGATGGTGAGTTAAGCCAAGCTCTTGTAGCTTCAAATGATTATATGGGTATTTATGTTCCAAAAAAAACATATGAAGAAACGTAATGGTCGAGAACTCGACCTTTAGATACTTGTTACTCATCATTAAGTGCTTCCATCTGCCAAAAAAACTACAATAATGCTCATAACTTCTAAAATAATGGTCCGATTTGGAAAATAATTTGTATGATTCGGTATATATTGAACGAACAAACATATAAACTTTCGCTTAAATTTACATTTTAAGTCCCAAATCCGTAGCTTTTATAGTTTGAGAACGTTGGGAGTTCATACGGGCATACTGATATTAATAACGCCTAATTAACGCTACCCTCTACTTTTTACATACTTTTTCAGTAACGGGTGTATTTATAATATCCTCATTTTATTTATTCGAAACGCTCTTTTTTTAAAACAGGTTCCACTGCAGTTTCGGGAAGCGATGACAAGACCCTGATCGTTTGGGAGACCAAGCGTGGATTGGCTCTGACCTCGCTCCAAATGCATGTGCCCTTCACCCACTTTGACATCAGTTTGGAGGTGTCTCGAGTTCTGGTCCAACTGGTGGACAGCTACAATCTCCCCGTGATTTGTTTACACAACACCCCGGCGCAGTACGTCAAGCTGCCCACTTATTCGGGTCCCAGCAAGGATGTTGAAGGTATGGTTTATTTCCTAACGCTCTCTTATAAATCGATTATGGATAACTGCTTAATAAACGCATTTCAAAAGACATACATATCTGTGTAACAGGGTTTCATTAAATAACACATACATTTTTTTACGTTTGTGATAATGTTTTATATTATTTATTTATTATTTTTATAAATATATTTGTTCGCCAACAAATAACTCTTTTAATGGTTACTTAACTATTACTAAACTAAATATTTTGTGAAAAAAAGGCAGTTTAAGATTGTTTTCTTAATTAAATCCCGAAGGGAGCATGGCGAAAATTGGTTAAGACAATGCAATGCTCTACAAATGGGCTCATTCAAGGCATTATTTGGTCTGTAAATCGGAATGAAGTTCAGTATTACGGGGCAATCAATTTTGGCAATGAGCAGGTCATATTCTGAATTAAATAGTCATAACTACCTAACATAATATATGTGATGCATGCATTGTCTACAAATAAAACAACCTCATTTCCTTGCAGATCTGCGACCGCAGGGACCCAAGCGGCAGATGAAGCGGCTGCTGAAGAAGGAGGTCTCCTTGGACACGTACACCTGGCAGAAGAAGTATGGCCACCTGACCTCCTCGGTGATGATGGCCCAGGTGGATGAGCGTCTGAAGCGTCGCTTCAGCGTCTCGGCCAGCATGGAGGAGATCTCGAAGATCGCCGAGAACAAGACGGGAGCCTCGCAGGCGAATTTGGGGCCGGAGCAGGCGGCTCTGGCCCAATCGCAGCACTTTGACCAGCTGGAGGCGCTGTGGAACAAGCGGTCGCCGCCCAGAAGGCGTCACAATGCGGTAAGTGGTCAGTGGTCTCCATTCAAGACCCACTTTCTCTCTATCTCTCTTGGAAGGAGCAAATGGAAGGACCTTAGCTGCAGTTCGCTTTAATGTCTGTGTAATCCTTTGGTACTCGTAGTAGATGCGCTCACTATTTTGGTTTTTCTGTTTCGTCTCCTTTCTTTTCGTTTCATTTCGCTTCGTCTCTGTTTGCTTACACACCAATCTGCAATCTGTGCAATGTGCAACGTGCAACATGCAATATGCAATGTGCAATGTGCAATGGGCTATCTGAACCCATTAACAGGGTCTCTCGAGGCAAACTTCGTTGGTGGAGGACCGTCTCGAATCTTCGGACGACGATGAGTACCAGGATGAGCGCGCAGGTATGTTGTCCGCCTCCTACGATAACATCCACCTCCTTGCACGTTTGCCCGGCCTCCGGTCCCTGCACGATGCATGGAAAACGAACAGTCTGCGGGAGCGGGAGCCACGTCGCTCCGGCCGCACCAAGTTCTATGTGAGCACACCCCCACCACAGAACTCGCAGGACAGCAGCAGCCTGCAGCTGGACACCAACACCAACATTTACACCAACATCTACACCAACACCAACACCACAACGATTCACGACCACCACGGACAGTGCGGATGTGCGGATGGGGGGCTGGTGGTGGCTCCGGACCTGGTCAGGGACCTCCTTGGCGCCCCATCTGCACCCGAGTCCCCGCAACGGATCTCCCTGCGTCAGTTGCTCCACTGGCCCAGTCTTAAGTCTCGCCTTTGGCGGCGCCAGCGGAACTGTCAGTCCCTGCAGCCGAACATCCGGCTCAATCCGCCCGACCAACTCCCCCGCCGCCTCCGACCCACGCCCATCATTGTGGTGGAGAACTACGATGTCCGCCGTGTGCAGCAGCTGCGCACGGATCTCGTCCTGCATCCGCAGACGAGTCGGGCCTCTGTGGGTCACATCGAGGTGGCCGGCAGCGAGCAGATTCTGGCCAAAAAGGCCACCTCTTCCTTCTGGCAGCGCCGCTGGCATCTCCTGCGCCACAAGGCCACCAATCACCGGTCCGAGTCCAGCCAGCATGGTCACCCAATGCCACTCCGGGATACCGGCAATTCCCATTCGAATAACAGCACTCCCGATCCCACGGCCAATTGCAATGACTGTGTGGCCCAATGACGACGACAATGGGCAGGCACCCAACCACCGACCCCACTGAACCGCCACACCACCACCAATCTGCACCGCCACCATTACACCACCACTTCCGTTCTCCAGCACCACTTTTGCCACCCTGTGTCCGTAGTTTTGGCCATGCGTAGTTTTTCGCCATTAGTCAACTTTCACTTATTTATTTTAATAAATTTCCACAAGGTTTATTTCGTTTTATTTTGATTGCTCGTTCAATTATACCCAATTATCTATGGTCAAATTGTCCGGAAACTGTGTCCAGGTGAGTACACTCCAGAAATCAGGGACTAAACTTGGGTAAAATACGGTTAGAGCTGGGTGTTTTATAAGGGTGTCAAAAATTCCTTAAAACTAAAATTCCACTAAATTGTTATAAAAAATATTCTAGTCGTAAAGCTGTAAAACTAAGTTTCAACACATTAAACTGGTGATCTTAGGATATATAATATTAAACGAGATATAACAACTTTTTTTTTTAATTCAGTTAAGCTTTAATTAAGTTGCAACATAAATATTAAATTGGTGTTGTTAGGATATCAAATATAAAATATATAATATTTAAAGGAGATATCACGAATTTTTTTTTTTTAAATTCGCTTCAATTTAATTCCAACAAAAGTTCTTTTAGTTTGAATCATTAAAGGATCTAATTTAAGAAATTTCAACAACTACTTAAATAGCTTCGCTGCCTTTTATATAATCTCAGTTCAATTGAGATAAAAATATTCCTAGATCTTTTTGTTCTGAACTGCAACTAAACCCTATCAAACTTTTAAAGAAACCCGTAAACTCACAGCTTAAATACATGTTAAACCCTTGTAACGAGACTGTGGATGCCATTTTCCATTGTTAATTATAATTAGTTTTACCCCAGGTAATGACAGGGCTAGTCCGCGTGTTTTCGACTGTAATGGCTTTCGAGTAAATGGCTGCATCATGAATATTAAGTGCTCATCCGACCAGTGGTCGTGCTCATTTCGCACTGGCCAATGCATAAAAGTGCAATCAATAAATTCGCAACGCGATTAACTCGATAAGCAAACAAGAGACCATCGCATCGTTGGCCGAGTAATGAATTGAACGAATTAAAAGCAATCAATTCCAGTCGAGCGAAAACAAAAACGAAAGCGAATCGAATCGAATCGAATCGAATGGGTTCAGAGACTTGTGGGTGGGTTCCCATGGGGTCCAGTGAGGTAAGCAGCTCGTTCTCCAAGCTCTACGTTAAGTTCATCCATCCTCCTCAGGCATGTTTTGCTTTCAGCCAAAGAAACAAGTACGCAAAACCCCGAAAAACCAAGACAGAACTTGAGGCTGTGTACCATAATACATACTTGTACTACCATGTATACTACATATAAAGTGTTATCCGCTTTCTCGTTCTCTAAGTATGTGTTTTCACTTTCGACTCCTCTCGATTTTATAACGTTTTACGCTCTCTCGATGTGTATATATACTATATATCTTCCTGCATATTTAAATACTCGTTCCGTTTAAAGTTGTTGCCTAGTTTGGCCACGATTCTGCTGCTAAACTAAAATGAACAAAAATACCAAAAAATAAAAAACAAAAAAAATAAAAAAAAACGAAAAATGAAAATGAAGTTCCCATTTTCCATTCCAACTATCCAAACCACAACTCCGAATGAACCACCACAACCACAACCAACAGCCACCGCCCACAGTTCGAAAACCAGTTCCCGCAGCTCACTGCTCCCATAAACAATTGCAACCGGAACAGTAGCCACCAACGGCAGGCAGCGTGAATAAATACTACAAATATAATAATAACCCGCAAGAAAAACAAAAATTGTAAACCATTTAGATTAGTTTCCCCACTCGATTGGCATGTTATCTCCAGTGTTTTCCAAATCGCAGCTAGTTCAACGTATGTAGAGCACTTTGCAAGAACCCAACCACAGAACCAGAACGGCACTCCAAAATTGACTAACTCCCCCAATCTGGCTAATTTCGGTTTAAATTTCGTTTCTAGATGACTTCGACGACTTCTTTCAGTGGGGATAGGACGTTAAGATTAGTTAATTAGGATAAAATATCACATTGTTATGGCTAGGGACTAGACACATTTACCTTTCGAAAATACGGGCATACCTCAAATGCAACTGCTGAAAAAAAAACACTTTTGAGAATTCTACACAGTCTATAGAGAACTCGTAAAATAGCATATTTATAACCACAAAAGAAATAACGACCTCTGCACGGCCAGCTAAATGCCATCAAGTAAGTATGCTACCAGGTCGCAATGACACATATCCCCTAGCCGAACCACTAGAGTCATAGAGTTAATAGAGCTTAACCATCTTAATTTGGCCAATGGCCACAGCGAAAGCCTTTGCTTTGATGTCTCGTGCAAGTAACGTTTATTTGGCAATTGCTATTAGAGCTGGACGTGAACGAACGTAGATGCCAGCAAGTAATTCGGTGTTGGGCATGTCACTCTAGACCGATGCCACTAATCACAGAGACAAACTAAAGCACATTCCGAATTTGTTGTCGATTTATGCAGATCATTTCGCTTCAGGAGGAGGAGGATACCACAAGGGATAAGGCCTGAAGCAGCGTCAGCAGCACCATCCATTAAATGGCATACTTATCCAAAATGACAATGGAAAGCAATAACCCATCTCCCATTTATCTTTGTAGATGTAAACCAATAACATAACATAACATAGTTAAATCTGATAAACCACCGTCTCAGACTTTGTAGGAATTATAGCTTTAAGTGAGCCAATTTCGACATTTTATTGTTGTAGAGTGTTTTATGTACCTACTAGACCCGAGCTAAATGTTGATTGTATTGACACAATAACGCAATAACTTAGAATCTGTTCAAATGAGAAATGCAAATACAAACTCTCTGAAGGGGTAAAAAGCGTAACTATGCTTAAAAACACAAGTAAAAACAAGTGAAAACAAGAAAAGAAACACACACACACCGACACAAGCACAAAGACACGAACATTGATGGTTAGTTAAGGAAACAAGCAAATGTATATATTTTAAGCTATGATGTTCGCTGTAGAATTAGTATTACCACGACCTCAGTTCGAAATGCACTTTTTCGGGTCAAGGGCTTGCACTTCCCGCGGATATAACTTCAATAACTTTCTGACAATCAGAGGTTCTAGCCTGGAACGAAAAAACAAAAAAAAAAACAAACAAACAACCACAAAGCAAATCTACAACTGAGAACGACAAATGGATATTTCTACACCGGATATTTCTATGCATGCCACAAGTGAAACTTCGTTAAAAATAAGCAATTAATGTCTATGTAGTCTAGTGTAGTGTCCACCTAGTGTAGCTGAGCCACGAGCATCTCCCGAGGAACTATGCATCTGGAAACGGAAACAGATACGGATACGGATACGGATACGGCAACGGAATCGGAATCGGTTAGCGATATCGAATAAAAACACACACTGAAAAATGTACACCCTGTCTATGTCTATTAACTCGAAATTAAACTCAACTTTACTGGAGAAAAGCAAAACGGAATTTTTATTTATACATATTAATACAGATTATTAGTTCCAAATGTTTAAATTATAATTTATCATCTGAAAAGTTAGAGAAATAACTTGCTTTATTTTTAAATTGAAAAATGTTTTTTACTTTAAATAAATTTAATTTTTTTTTGGTTTTGTTCTCCTAAGATCAAAAGCTACAAAGGTAAAAGATGTACCAAATATGTAAGCTTGAATATGCTACAGCGAACAAAGACCACTGTGATTTTCTTTAATTATTTTTTTTGGAGGTCTGGAAATCTAGATGAATGGATTGTGGGTCAAGGCTCAGACGGAGACACATGCACATCGAGTTGGCAACAATTAATTCGGTTTCCCCTGTCCTCTGACATTATGCATGGCTTTCATCTTTCACTCTTCATTATTCGGCCCATCTGTCCGCCCGTCGGCAGCCATTGTTTGTTTGCAGTTCTCCGGCCATTATGACACCATTTGCCAAGCCAATGTCAAACAAAAGCCAAAGCGTCCACATCAGCATCGTGGGCGGGACTTTGGGTGGATAAAACCGCAGACGCAGCCATTTTGTTTGCACTGTCTAATGAGAAAAGTTTGCGGAAAGCATTGACAATGAATGCTGCTGATAAGAGTGAATGAATGTATATGTGGGTCAGGTTCCACAATATTCGCCAAGGAAAATCACATTCTCATCGCACATACATAGGCACAAGTCCTGATCGATGGCCATATACGCGATTAATGAGCTACCAGGAAATGTGGAAAATAGTGGGCCTCGGTCAACCCTTTTCAGCTTTGGTCTCTAATTACTTTTGTTTTTTCGGCCAAGACGTAAAGCCATGGAAAAGGCAGAAAATGCCGTGCACTAGCACTTATGAATTGAACCCACTGAACCGCAGACAAATCGAGTGGATGCTCCACTCAGACCTCCATGGGAATGCGAATACTTAGCTTTTGGTTTTTCGGCGAATTTATGAGCTTCTCGTACTCGCTTGCGGCACAAGTTTTGGGTAAAGGAAAATTCTGGAAAATGCCAACGTTGCGAAAGGCTTCAAAAAATGCCTCCGCATCATGCTGCTACTTGTCCGTCTAAATGGATTTTCCCTGCTCTGGAGCCGCATAATTGCAGGCGAACACAAGGCACTGAACACTGCGAATGTGCATTTACCTCCCTCTCATAACTTCTACACATAAAACAAAACATCTAATGAAACCAAAATGTTATAGGTATAGTTGTTATATAAAAAAAAAATTTTTATGAATAAAACTTAATATATTGCCTGACTTAGGAAATTTCACAATTATTCACAATCATAACATTTTTAATTATAAAGTATTGTTTTAAATCCATTAAAATATAAAAACCTATTATGTTATTTCAAAATTTTTTAACGAAATCTATATTGATATTCTTTCTATTTACCAAAAATCATTTGTCAAAAACTCTTTATTTCATTTTGTAAGTGAAATACTTATTTTACAAGCAATTGGTTAAAAAAAATATGTAACTTATAGTACTTTTCCCCTCAGTGTACATTTCTAAGCTTGGCACAGCCAAACACATACATATAGCTTCTGTCCTTGCCTGCTATCATCGTCAAATCAAGCATACGCAGCGTATAACGAGAGAAACAGAGAAACATTTGAAAGGCATTCTGAACAGTCGGGAAACTTTATGGCGAAGTCCTAGCCATGTATTAGGAACTTTCAGACATTGTCAAGTGAAAGTAACCAAGTAGAAATGGGGAGACACGAAAAACAGATCTGAGGCTGAATAAAAAACTAACACTGACAACACAGCAAAGTATCTGGATTAAGTGGGGCCACTTGCCGCTGGCCTTAAATCCATTCGTCCACCAACGATTTTCCCGCAGGCAAACAATAAAAAAAACCATCCAAAAAACTACACACATTATCTTTCATCTCGCTTTAGAGATTTGTTCGCGTTTAGCGAGTTAAAAAAGGAAAGCCGGAAAATTACCAGATTAGGGCTTTTAATTTAATGAAGGACGAGCAGAAAAACGTATATTTTTAATTAAGAAATTTATTTACTTCTTGAAAAATTAAATGGGAAACTGCAAAACAATTTAGACAAATAAACCTAATAAATTAAAAAGAAAACATTGGCTTTATATATTATTATATTAATTATATTTTATATTAACATTTTTTTTATTTAATTACCTTTTAATTTAAAACTAATTTTCGAAAGCTGACGAATTAGATAAAATAAAACTCTTCTCATAGACAATAATTTGTTGTAAGAAATTTATTTTGGTTTAGTTTAAGTTATATTTTGGAAAAATTTAAGTTTATTTTGAAAGTATTAAGAGGAGACATTATTTTTCAAAATTTCCCTAAGCACTCTTCCATTAAGACTCCCCTGACCAATGGTCATTCCCGCGGAGACTTTCCTTTTGAAATGAAAATGGTACTATTATGATTTCAGGAGCAATCCCCGATAGATTTGCTGCTGCTCGCCTTGCCAATCAGCTGAAAGCAAACAACCAAATCTGAATAATGCATTACCCGGCACTTCCCATCCACTCCGCCCCTCCATGGGGTAGTATAAGAAGCCACATCCCACCAGGAGGAGCCATTTGCCCAGTGCCCGCTGCAGGACACTGATATCGAAAGCAATTTCCGTTGTGATTGCCACAGTTCCCTAATCCCCGCAACGGATGCACGCAAATGAGAGACTGACGCCGGAGTAGGACGTTGCCGGGGACAACGACGATAACAAGTAGTCCTGGCAACTGCCATCAATCAATTCGAAACAGAAAGCGAGCTCAGCAGGAGGTCACCACAGATCCGAGATAGTTAAAAATTAAAACAAAAAATTAAGGTCAAGATGTTGTGGGGTCTTAGCTCGGCATTGGATCTGTACGAGGAGTATCTGAAGGCCTTTAAGATCAACGATGATCCTTTGCGGGAGGAAGGAGATGCGGAAGGAGCAGGCGGAGACGAACCATCAAACAGCCTAAACATCCTCATCTGCGGCGGAGCTGATCCGCGTCATTTGATTAAGACTCTGGCCAAGCGATACACCCATCGCATCCGACCCAAACTCAACATCTACGTGCTGGATGGCTGCGCCGAAATTGTGGCCAGGAACATGTTGCTCCTGGGCGTGGCCCTGGAGGATCCGGAGTCCTTTAGCCTGGTGTGCAAGGTGCATCTGTTCATGGACCTCTACGGAAATGCGGTGGTGCGGCCCAGCTCACATCACTATATGGCCGCCAAGGGGCGCACTCTGCTGGAAATGGTCACCAATGATGAGAAACTTCGGCGCTTGGCCCCCATGCTGAATGTTGAGGGACTGAAGTACAAGGAGCGTGATGGCTTGGAGATGGCCTTCAGTTTCTGGCAACCACATCCCTGGAATATATTCGAGGTGACCTCCTACTGGGAGCAGCGATCGAGGGCTCTCCTGGGCACCCGTTACGACCATCGCAATGGGGCCTTCGACTGGGACCTGAGCATGACCCTGAAGGATCGTGGGGGACAGCAAATCTGCTCGCAGGAGTATCGCTACTGGCGGGAATCGGGCGTGGCCTTTGTTTTCCCGGAATATGAGCATTGCAAGCCGAACAAAACTCTGGCCGCTGGTTTGGTGCGAAACGGACGCACCTTCATTCATCGTGGCTATGTGGGCGATATCCAGACTGGTCCCTTTTGTGGCTTCGGGCTGCGCACCACAGAGGAGCGGATGCATCACTCGGTCCATGGGGATAACGATTATCGCGCTACTGACATAACTGAGCGCAACCTTTTGGAACTATTTCATGAGCTGCAGACACAGACCGCCTACGAGCACGATCCCACGCGCTCCCGCAGATACGGCTCTGTTCAGTTGCTGATGACGCCGTTGCTTAACCACCAGGAAGTGGACGCGACGGGGCAGGCATCCTACGATAAGCCCTGGATCCCAGTGCCCGGAGTAACAGTGCACTATGTGTCGCCCATGGAAATGGTGCAACTGCAGCAGGGGGCAGTTCGCTGGAACAACATGTTCGACGTTGCCTTCGTGGCCTACAACTATTACACTTTCCTGAGCAAGGACTTCTTTCAGGCTCTGCGCTCGCAGGCACTTTTTGTGCTGGAGACCAAACTGATGACTGTGGAGCGCAAGGATCATGTGCAGGAGTTCGAGGCCAAGGCCAAGGAGCTGTTGAAGCAGTCCGGCCTTAAGGCGGCCATCAACTACCAGGCCATCAATGCGAAGAACATGTGGCTCAAATATAAGAAGACTGACCAAGATGAAGCGGAAGATGAGCTGGAACCAGAGCCGGAAAGTTTTCCGGCCATTGATTGCGACGAAGATTTTGACGTTCCTTCTGCAAATGATTGTAAGCTGGTTATAGAAGAAATTACCTCAGAGAATCAAACTGTTGCAGCGATTAAAAGGGAAGTGGAGGCAGAAGATTCAATACCACCAAAGAACCTCTTTCCGTAAAGCCCCTGCAATCTGAACTGAAATAAAAGTACAGTTTAATGAATACAACAGGTAACTTTAATTTTGTCGCTGCTTCTTCTTATGCTTCCCCGTGGCCCAAGTGTCCAGTTGGAACTCCATGCCTTCCCGGCGCTGCCTAACCTTTTGGGGTGTTGCAAATGACGAGGCCTTCCGCCGATCCTCCTCGAAGTCCAGCAGATGATCGATTCGCATATTGAGTTTCCTGGCTCGCGTGCCCGTACCCCAGTGATCTTTCTCCCTGCGATGCTGGAATTCATTCTCCACGACCTTCCGCCGGGGCACATGTTTCAGTGCCGCCTCCCAGTTGCCGGTTTTCTTGAGGTCCAGCATGATGTTGATCATTTGGTTGAGAGTGAGGGATTTGCCCGAACCCGATCCCCACTGCAAGTAGCGATCCAGGGGCAGTTTCGCCATTCGCAGACCCAATCGCTTGGCTTTGGCCAGCGACAGTGGCTCATTGTTCATTGTGTCCACCATGGCACCAATGACATATACGTCATCTGGATTGTAGGTGACCAGATCCTCGCGGCAGTGAGGCGTTAGGTAGACGAGGTTCTGCTTGGGAAACAGCTCCGTAAAACACTGGGGATGCACGTTCATCGGGAACTCGGGGTTGAGCATGGTGGGAATGAAGCGCTGGAGGCTCTTCATTGTTCTGCTCTCCAGGTGGGCGTTGCAGTAGTGCAGATCAAAGGGCTCGTCGTTCAGGCGGTTTTCGGCGAAACACAGCATGAGCTGTTTGGCGGCATACGAAGCCTCCCGGTTATTCATGTGCTCGTCGTAGGAGCAATCCAGCACAATCTTGGGGGCGAACTGCATGGCTCGGGTCAGCCTGTTGTTCTGCCAGTGATTAATTGTGGTGTCGTAGATGCGCAGGAACATGGAGGTGTGACCCAGACCGTAAATGATGTGCGTGTTCTCATCGCGCTCCTTGCGCATCTCCTCTTTCCGCCGCACGGTGTCCTCCGCCCGCTGAACCTTCTTTCGCTGCTCCGATTCCTTCTTCATCTCGATTTGCCAGAGAAATGCAAAGTACTTGATCCGAGCCGATTTCGTGGGCAGGGTCAGCACGTGTTCCCAGTGGTGCTCCTGGAAGAAGTCAAGTGCCGGCACGCGGCGTCCCTCCTGATGGGCAATGTCTGCCTCCAGCTGAAGCACCTTAAGCCGCTTCTCTCGATCCTCTTTGGTCTCCGATATCTCCGATATCGCCTCATTATTTAATGCTGGAGTGGGCTGTGAGAAGGGGTTCACGAATTTTGGTTGGGTTTCTTGAGAGCCGGCTAGTGGGTTGCCTCTGCTGGAGGATTCCGATGCGTATCTGGCTGGCGTGGCACTACCCTTCAGCAGTTGGCTGCCCAGACGCCATCGTGCAAGGTGCTTCAGCATTCTATATATATTCCTTAGTGGCAGTTATAGTTATCGTGTTCTTAAGCTAAGTCGAAAATTAAATAACAGAAAGAGCACAATGTGGCGGGGTTGTCATCACTTGTTTTGGATGCACGCGTGGCATTGTGACTGCCAAATCAGAGAAACAGGTGATTTGTTATCTACATAGCTAATTTACTGTAAAAAACAGAAACTATTAACTACTTTAAATGTATTTAATTGCAAAAGTATTTACAAATAATAAAATCCAAGTATTTTTAAATATATAAAACCACGAGCAAACTATGTTAAGTTAACTTTACATTATGTGTCTTCCTAATTTTTTTAAACAATGAAAGCAAAATTTTAATTTACATCTAGCTAGTTTAACCATATTCAAATTAGTAGCCAAATCAACCCTCATCTGGCAACACTGTTTTCGATAACAACCGCGTGGCTATGTGACTGGCATAATAATAAGAAGCGGCTTTGCCGACAATTTTGCGCTTGGCTCGGGAAAAACGTGTAAAACATTTTATTTACTAACTAGACTACGCGAAAAGTGACCTAAACATAAATAGCAATGGCTTTGGTTTGCGCACGTAAGTGAATTGATTTAGTTTCAATTAGTAGATAGCTATCATAAACCGCACCATTCGTTGCAGTGACAAACGAAGTCCCCGAGACGCCCGTGGTTTCCCCATATTCGGGAGCCGTCTTCGAGAAGCGGGTAATTGAGAAGTATCTGTTGGAGAACGGGGTCGATCCCATCAGCGGCAAGGAGCTGAAGCCGGAGGAGCTGATCGAGATCAAGACACCGGCCGTGGTGAAGCCGAAACCGCCGAGCGCCACCAGTATACCGGCCACTTTGAAGACCATGCAGGATGAGTGGGACGCCCTGATGATCCACTCGTTCACACAGCGCCAGCAGCTGCAGACGACGCGCCAGGAGTTGTCCCATGCCTTGTACCAGCACGATGCCGCCTGCCGGGTGATTGCGCGCCTCAACAAGGAGGTGGCCGCCGCCCGCGAGGCTCTGGCCACGCTGAAACCCCAGGCGGGCATTGTCAGCGCCCCCACGGCGATCCCTCAACCGGCCCTGGCTGCCGAGGCCGGTGGCGCCGCTGCCCATCCCATGGAACAGGCGGGCATGAGCGCCGAGGTCATACAGAAGCTGCAGGACAAGGCCACGGTGCTGACGCAGGAGCGCAAGAAGCGCGGCCGCACTGTGCCCGAGGATCTGGTCACGCCGGATCAGGTGAAGGGCTTCCTAACCATCGCCTCCCATCCCGGCCTGCATTCGGCCTCGGTGCCCGGCATTCTGGCCCTGGACATTAACAGCGCTGATCACAGCAGGATCCTAACCGGAGGCAACGACAAGAACGCCACTGTGTTCAACAAGGACACCGAACAGATGGTGGCCATCCTGAAGGGACACACCAAGAAGATCACCAAAGTCATCTATCACCCGAACGAGGATACAGTCATCACCGGCTCGCCCGACATGAACATTCGCATCTGGCACGTGCCCACTTCGCAGACGCAGCTGCTCCTGCGCTGCCACGAGGGCCCCGTGACCGGACTCTCGCTGCACCCCACTGGCGACTACTTGCTGTCCACCTCGTCCGACAAACACTGGGCATTCTCCGACATCCGCACCGGTCGCCTGCTCACCAAGGTAATCGACCTGGCCGAGGTGGGTCTGACGACGGCACAGTTCCATCCCGATGGCCTGATCTTCGGCACGGGCACCGTCGACTCGCAGGTGAAGATCTGGGATCTGAAGGAGCAGAGCAACGTGGCCAATTTCCCTGGCCACACCGGACCCATTTCAGCCATTTCGTTTTCGGAGAACGGTTACTACCTGGCCACCGCCGCCGATGACGCCTGTGTCAAGCTGTGGGATCTGCGCAAACTGAAGAACTTCAAGACGATCCAGCTGGACGATGGCTACGAGGTTAAGGATCTGTGCTTCGACCAGAGTGGTACCTATCTGGCTATCGCCGGCAGCGATGTCAGGTGAGTTTATTCTTCTTTGCTGATACATCTTTTACATCTTTAGCCGATTTAGTGTTTTATAATGCTTAAGTTGAGTTGTGAATATTAATGATGATCCGCTTAGACCTTGTTTTTCCATCGCTGCTCCACTTGTAGGTGATGGTGCTTTTTAAAGTGCGCCATCCAGTTGTGCAGGCGGTTCTGTTTGACCAGTGCCCGGCGAGACATCTCCTTTTCCGCTGCCATGCGACGGCGTACCTGCTGCTCCACGCTTTGCAGTTTGCTTGGCTCAATGTGGTCCAACTTGGCCAAAAGTTCCTAACAAGATAAAACCATTATGAGAGACTTTACTATCGAAGGCACAGCTTTAAGTATTACCAGAACATGTGCTTGGATTTTCTCCACCTTGGCCAAAGTTGTGTCCTGTTCGTCCTCGTAAGTGGACTTTGGTGGCGGCGTTGGGGGCTGCATATCCTCCAAGGTGCGCCACTGCTTCGCTGACTTCTCTGCTGCCTGCTTAGGCGGCGGCTCCGTCACCTCTTTCCTCTGCTCCGGCTGAACTTTGTTTTTGATGTGCTTTAGGATCACTGGGATAATGCTATTTAGCTTGATATTCAGCTTGCTGGCAAGTACAAACGCGAAATTAAATAGGAAATCGAGAACTAAATCAACTAAAAACCCACTCTTTGCAGTATTTCTGTTCGTAGTCATTCAGTAGATCCTTAGAACGCTCCTGAAGTCCTGCCACACGTCGTTGCAGGAACTCGGGATCCTTGAGGAACACATTGGCTTTCACCTGGCGTTCGTAAGTCTTTTGTGACTTGTAGTGGAGGATACCCACGATGTGGTTCAAGAGTGCCAACTGAGTAAAACGCCTATTGTAGTTGGAGACCTTCAGGCGGTTCCTTTCATAGCCACGTATCCAGATCTCCGCGTTGAGGTGATTCCGCTTGGCCAGATAGGGTCGCACTATCTTCTCCATGTAGCTCTGAACTTGGCGCACTTGCTCCAGTCCTGCTGGATTCCGTTCGGTAATCTCCATTGCCACAATCTCCTGTGGCATAACCAGTCTACCGCTGTCCTCCTCCCCTTCGGTCTGCTCCTCCTCCTCCACCGTGTCGTCAAAGTAGCTGATCAGCTTGAGCAGATACTGAAAGCGACCGTAGACTTCCTGCACTTCCATCAGGACTCGCTGGTGCTCCAGTTTCACCTCATTGAGCTCCTCGGCTAGTTTACTTTCCTTCAGTTTCTTCAGCTTCTCTTGCGCCTCCAGCATTTTCTTGAACTCCTCCGCCTCCATCTTCTTGAGCGAGTCCTCGGCAAACTTGTGAAACTCCTCGGCCTTCTCGTACAGGTTGTCCTGATATTCTTTCTCACGTTTCCGGTCCAAGAACAGTTCTTGGGTGGCGTAGTACATGAAACGATTGCGTGTAATCTCTCGCAGAAGTAGGATGTCCCTGAAAAACACGGAAAATAGGAGTGACTTGGACGTAGAACTCCCACTCTCGATTCTCCCTACGTTTTCATGCGAAACTTTCTGGCCAAACGCTGCAGGCTGGCATCTTTTATGTAGTCGGGATCGATGGTGGTCACCACACAAGGAGCTCGGGGACTGGCGATTTCTCCGCGCTAAAGAGTGGACATTATACTTATATATGGGTAGCACGGAAAAGATTTCCTTACGCACCGCATTGAAATCCTCAATTGATAAATTAATGGGTTTTGGAGGGTCCGGTTCCACATGGGTTTTGGGTCGAACGAAGTCTTGGTAGGCAACATATTTTAATAAATTTTACACTTGTTAAAATGGAAACTTACTTTCATATTCGCGATAAACTTTTCTTTTGAATTTTCGCATTTTTAAAGGATTCCCTTACTAAACTTGTTTACTCTGTTGCCAAGGTACAACTACTAACTTTGATTTCGTTTTCAGGGTTTACCTGTGCAAACAGTGGCAGGAACTGAAGGTATTCAACGACCACACGGCCCTGGCAACGGGCGTTCGATTCGGAAAGCACGCTCAGTATCTCGCCTCCACCAGCATGGACCGCACCCTGAAGATATACGCCATCGAATAAGCACTGGTCGAGTCCACATATTTAGTACATAAGTCCAGCTAATTTCTTATACCATATACATATATCATACTGATTGTGTGCGTTTCTTGAACAAAATCTTGCAGAAAAATAAACCTGACCCTCTATCCAAAAGCTTTTTTCAAAATTACATAGGCCTAAGGATTTAAGTAGCTCACATATTTACTTTTTGAAAAGGAATTTTGATTTACTTATTATATTTAATGACAATTGTTGAACTTATAAGTGTATTTAGCTTGACAGTGCCGAGATCTGCTTGAGCGGTCGCTCCAAATAGGAGGCCAGCGACATGGTCTTTTGCTTCAGCAGACCCAATCCCACAGTTTGTTTGGCGTAGAGACATAGGAGCACACTGGCAACCTGTAATAAAGATAGTAAATAATATAGTACATAAGAATTGTTCTATTGGACAGAATGATCCACCCACCTGTGTGATGGCCACATGACCGTTCTCGCAATCGATCAGCACAAAGGTCAGGCGATCTTCACGGAAGGCATTCCGGCCGTGCTTCTCGTAGGCTGCCCAAATGTTACTGGCTATGGCCGCCGTAATCCGGGCATCTTTATCGCCGTATCCTGAGTACGCCAAAAGAGCGCCCTCCTGGCTGAGCAAACTGCGGAGGAGTACGAAAACATCTTTATTGACACTATAAACCAGGTTAGTTAATTGCTTACAGGGTGTTCTCCACTCCGCCAGTGTTTGCCTGGCTAAGGACCTGAGTCAGGGCTTTGGGTTTCAGCATTTTATATTAAATTTAATGTAGAAAAAAGGAAAACAACAATAGAACTACGCCTTCACAAAACACTGCATTGTGAATGGCAAAAAATCAGCTGATAAGGAGGAAGCATTGCGTTGAGAATGGCAACTAAGTGGCGCCAATTTGAAAATTGTTTTAAATGTTGAATAAATTCACCAAGGAAGTTTTTGTGGTATTTAAAATAAAGAAGAGTTGTCCTCTTAATACATATATAGTATTTAAAAATGAAAAATTTACCAAGCTGTAAGATCATTTATTGGCAGCTGTTTAATTTATTATATAAAAAACAGCAATGTTTTTTTACATTTTGAAAATTGACAACAATTTATGTCCAATCCGATCAAAAAGCAGAAGTAAAAAAAATAATTCCCTGATTTTGGTATTAATTTGAACCATACTTCTCCACATGCGCCAATTTGGACTAATAATAAAACAAAATAATCAAATTTTTTCGGATGAAAGATGTGCACAAATAAGTTTAACGATTTGTAAGCTCTTTACGATAAAAAAAAGAAATCCAGAAAAACATCATTATGCAGAGCCGAACTTTTGAAACTGGCGTCTATTTAAGCACGCCTTACCATCATAATTCCTTTTTAATTTTTTTCAACGCCTCTTAAATAGCAATCTCTAGATGACTCAACTAAAAGTCACAGGATGTATTAAAACTCATCTTATCGGTACTTTCTTTAGAGACATTTATCGCTAGTAATACATCAACAGAGTTATCTACATTTCACCCATAACTTCCGAATACCGAGAATTTAAAGGCGTATTTGGTGACGTCATTGTCAAACCAGGTCACGGACCTATTACGCAGCAAAAACTGCAATCTCCCTCGCTCTTTTTTACTTCTTCTATGTGGATGCATTAACGCTCCACGGGGTCATAGGTCAGAGCAACAGTCTTTATTTTCAACCACCGAATTGAAAACGCTTTACCATCCGGAATAACTGTACTTTGTTTGGCCTTTGATGCTACGCAGTTTGCCGAAAATCATGGCTAGCAGGGTGCATTTGGGACTGCAAATTGCGCATGACTCGGCGCGCTTGCCCCATCCTTTCGAGAAATTTCGAGCCATGGAACAGGGGGGGTTTTCTTTTTGTTTTTTTGTTTTGTTTTTGCTGGGAAAGCATGAAACTGGGTCATTGGCAAAACTACTCCGTGAAACGATCTGTGCCAGGATGAGAATGGTACGAGTCAAATGTCGATGGTGTTGCATTAAAAATTTTATTTATTAACTTAGATTCAACCAAATTTAGTCTTGGGTAATATTTATATATATATAAACCGGTACATGATATCGCAATAATTATGGAGTCTTATGTTAATTAAATATTACTACCGCTAAGTATTATGTACACTTTGACAAAAATACATCGGGGTTGCCCCCTCTATATGACATTGTTTGGTGTAGCCTTCCATATTGTTTCGTTTGTGTGCAAAGTGGGGTGTGTGCAAAGTGGGTTGTGGGTGTGTTTGATTTAAAGAAGGGTGAACAATTTCAGGGCTATGCATAGGGGGACCTGGTCAGATACTGTGGGGCTTTCGAGGTGGTCATCGGATGTTCGAGTGTGGTTATCGGATTTTCGAGTGTGTGGGGTGCGCTGGCTGATCTGTAAGCTGAAGTTTAGAATACATACGCATGGCCTGTCTCTGGCTGTTGTTCCGCTAGCTAAACTTAATTACAATCTTATTTACATGCTAAACATGTCCGCCTCTCCTTTCGAGTATCAAAATACATACATATGTGTACAACTATAAATGTCCTTCGTATTCGATCACAGCGCGCGCTCAATGTGAAACAAAACTTTTAAACAATAGTAACGTAAAGTTCTGCAACTGAAACAGTTTCGGGGCGAGGAGACACGGGCTCCCCACCACGGATTCGATTTAATTTCGATTTCGGTTTAACGGGTGGAAGGCCTATTGCGTTGTGGAGCGGGCACGTTTTGGGTTCGAGTAAAGCGAAATCATCATGGACGGGTCGGGCTGGTTAATGTCCAAACGCCTCCTCCGCTGCGGCGGCAAGCGTTCCGCGAATCGTTTCGGTATCCCGGCTCCCAGCAGTGTCTTTCGGTCGTACAAGTCCAGATTGTCGTTGTAGTAGGTGATGGCGTCCCAGCACATCTCGCTCAGCTTGGGCACCGTCATCCACATCTTGTACAGGTCGTTGCGACGACGCATCTCCTTAACATTGTACTCGATGCCTCCGAACACGTACATGCATCCATTATCCGAGTGGGCGGCCGAATGGAAGTACAGGGGGCGGGGCAGGGTGGCGGTCTCGATGCGGAACCACTTCTTGGTGCGCAGATTAAGCTTCCAAATGTCAGAAAAGTACGTGGAGAAATCGCCCTGAAAGTATAGTTTTTTACTTTAGTAGATGTTCTTCGTTTTTAATTGAAGTGGGTAAACATAAAGAACCTTTTTTGTTTGGTTTGTTTATATACAAAGATAATGTTTTATCTTCGATTTTGAACTCACCTGCAAACCGCCCGTAATGAAGGCCTCGATGTCCCCGTTGGAGGACTGGTGCTGCACACAGGAGAAACACTTGCGCGGCTTTGGATAGCCTCTGTTGCCGTCTTCCATGTCCGCCGTACGGAGATCGGGATACGTGTCGAAATAATCCCAGCAGTTCGCCTCCAGGTTGTAGGCCGGAATGCGCTGCAGATCGTACACAGAGTGTGAGGTGCCACCGCCTAGCACAAAGATATGCTTGCCGTCGTAGACGACCTCGTGGCGATATCGACCCTCCGGATCGTCACGCATCTCCGGACGACTGATGTATACATTTTCCCAGATTCCGGTGCGAAAGTCCAAGCGATACACATCACAGGTATAGTCAAAACCCGTCGTTCCACCGATTGTGTAGAGGAAGTGCTTGTGGATCACTATGCCCGGTCCGTACTGAGCCGTGGGCAGATCACCCTTGACCTTTAGGCGCTCTACGCCCGGTGTCGCGCCAGCGCTGGCCGTGCGGTAAACGTAGCAGTCATTCGAGCAAGACTCTCCAAAGGGATATCCCGTGCCACCATGGGACTGAAAAGTGTTGAGAATTATTATTTGATTTTTTCAGATTTGTTATTAGTGTTTAACACTTATTCTATGCTAAATATCTAAACCAATATAAGAGAAAGTAATCTGCTTTAACAATTTTTAGATTTTTCGATACTTTCTAGATTATTTCTGGTACGTGCACTGAGTATACACAATAAGAGAGTTAAGCGGGGCATCCACGCCCCTGACATTGCTGCCAATGCATTCAATTAGCAGATACTTCAGCGGCAGCAGCTTATCATCGCCTGGTGGAGGAATCGGAGGAGGTGGAGGTGGAGGTCGAGGCGAACAAAGATGAGGAAAATGAGGAGAAGCTGCAGTAGGGAGGTTGAGCTGCAGCCCAGATAAGCGGAAACATATGTCTCCAGTGTGTTTTTGTGTATGTATCGGGGCATGATTCGTCATCAAATTATAGCTAATTGTGGAATGCAAGGGAAGGGCATTGGCTGCCAGCATAAAATGCCAACAGCTCCCGTTTGGTTTGGTTTGGCTTTCGGTTTTTCATTTCGGTTAACTTCCTCCCAAAAAAAAAAAAAAAATAAATAAAAAGCGCGCGCACTCAGCTGCTGGGTGGGTAAAAATGGTAAATACAATGTTTTGAGTTTTTTCAGCAGAGCGCGAGGTGGGGAAAGCTGGAAAACAAGTTGTTGCATGCGGCAGCAGCATAAACAACAACTGCGTAGTAACCAAAGTGGAAAAGAGGGTTGCCTGGCATGCGCACAGGCGGAAGAAGGGGACTAAGAGGAGGAGGAGGAGGTGCCCCAGAGTGAGAGGCAAACGGCAATGGCCATGGGCAGCTGTTTGGGTTGACATTTCGGGTGTTTAGAATGCATAAACAAAGCACAGAGGCGAAGGAATGGAGGCGCGGAGCAGGGCGTGGCATTGGCCCTGGCGATTTTTATTACCCAGAATAACCCTCCTCTCTCTCTCTCTGGTTTTCACTCTCTGTCGAGATCTGAACGATCAGCTGTGTGTGATTTCTCTGCTCATTTCACAATTCAATTGTGTTTTCTACTTGAGCACAAACAAGTTTTTTTTATTGCAATTGAGGGTTTCGCTAGCCTACACAGCAAGAAATGAGATCATATTCAAGATATATAATATATTGTCACATAACATCGAACAATTAATAACAGTTCTTTGCTTTAAATATCTACCTATGTATGTATGTAAGACCGCAAGTAAACTATATTTATATAAGCAGATCAACATAAAGATTATCTTGTATCAAAAAAACTTATTGAGGAACTTAATTTATATTTAAAGTTATCAACTGTTGATAACAATTTGTTTCCAAGAAACTGGCACATTTGCCAATTTTATAAACATTTTTACTATCAGCAACCCCTAGAGATTAAGTTTGTTGGAACCACAGCCAACGTTTGGTTGGATACTACAACATTTTGAAAGTGAAAAGTGCTATCTCTCAAAGTGATCCAGATTATTCTCCGTGTCTACCAACCAACACACCCAACGAGAGAGAGAGAGAGACAATCGAACTCATCTATTTTCGTCTGCTTAAGAGCCCCCTGACCCGCCTCCTGGTAAACAGATTTAGATAGCAACTAATAGATACTCACAATCAACACGTTATTGTGAATGGTCAACGCATTGGAGGCCAGCTCCACGGGCATATTGCTGGCATTGTCGGCATTCAGCTCCAGCTTCCAGGTTCTGGTGGCGAAGTTGTAGCTCCAGAGCTCCTGAAACAGCAGGCAGCGTCCGTTGCGTGAGGCATTCAGAGCGCTACGCGGATTATAGCCACCGAGGGAGTACAGGTGCGAATTGGAGGCGATGATGCGGTGGCCACTGCGCGCCAGCGGGAATCCCCCGTGGACGTGTTTCTCCTTGTACTGACACTTGACCAGACGCAGCGGCTGGAAGGCGTACGCTGGACGCTGGCTGGCCAACTGGGACTGCTGCTGCTGCTGCTGCTCCGGCGACAGGAAGACATTCAGCACACTCTTGGACAGCTCCATGCCATCATCCAGCTCATCGCTGGAGCTGACCGTCTCGTCGGAGAACATCTCCTCGAAGTCCGATTCCGAATCGGTATCACCATAGTCCACGTCCACATCCACATCGTCGTCATCCTCTTCCTCCTCCTCGTCCAAATCGCTGGCTGCGTCCATGGGTTCGCCTGCGCCCTGTATGGCCTGGAAACGGGCCACAATGTCTGCCTGATCCGGCTGCGCCTGCGGCTGGGGTTGGGGTTGTGGTTGGGCCTCCTCCTCCGGCATGTCCTGCTCCATGATCAGATCGTTGTTATTGTTATTATGATGGGCCAGCTGCTCCTGGTGTTCGGATGGAAGAGCCCTTTCGTAAAATTTCACCAGTAAATCGGAAATAAACAATAGAAACGTCCAAGTGTGACGCAGTTGGTAAAACACGATACACTTGAGCTTGGCTGGTTTTAGTATGTTCATAACACGCTTGCTGAGTTTTAAGTAACGGTAAACGTATCGAACAATTTTGGTTTTGGTTTTGAATCCTGTTTCTCAGAGAACAGAAAATTTTGTCAATTTTGGTGTTATTTTTACTATTTTTCTGGGAGGGGAAGAGGGTGAAACGACCTCGCACAGCTGGCTGACTATAATGTTGTTGTTGTAGTTGTTGATTTGGTTTCTGCTGCTTCTGTTGTTGTTATTGTTGTTTTCGTTGCCACTGCTGTCATTTTGACACTCGCTCTCTCTCGCTCACCCGCACGCATACACGCACGCACATGTGTTACGTTACGTGGTGTGTAAAATTGTACACTGTTTTGTTGGTTAACTTGCGTTTATTCGATTTGTTTTTCGTTTGTTTTCCCTTGGCTAATGCAATTTCACTAGTTGTGGCACGCTGGCAAATTGTTTAATTATTGCAGTCGATGGCACCCGCGCGCATCGTTTGTCTGTGCAACAAACTACGCTTTAAATTTAGATCTGAATAGACGAGTGCAGTCGACTGGCGATGGAACACAATCGATTGGCAATACGAAAGCCTTATCGATAGTGAATTAAATTTCATTTATGTTGCATAGCCTATTATATTTTCTTTTATTTTATAGTTTATTTATTATTTATTTTAGTTGGATTAAAAAATATTTTATACAAATAAAAGTTTTTCAGTACTTGTAGCGATGTTTCATTAAGAACATAGACAATCTCTTAACTTTTGTTTATTTTATTTTATTTGATAACAAGCATTAATTTTTTATAAAAAATTTGAAAATAAAATTATATTTGTGGAGGCTCATTTTTTTAAATTTAAAATTTTTAATATATTTAAGGACTTTATAGCTTTATAATTTTTTTCTGCCTGTTGCTAGTGGAGTGACCATTTCCATCAGCAACCCTTAAGGTATGCACCGTTATTTTCCCTCTCTCGATATCTTGCGGCTTTTTCGCCACACCGAAACCCGGTCACACTGAATTCTGCCAAAAGTATAAGACCGACCGTCGGCACACATTTTCCATACTATTCCGTGCTTTTCTTGTGTAATAAACGGATGCGGTGTCAACTCGTAAAAATGCAATTCCACCACAAAACGCATAAACTTTGATAGTGCCCAAATATTCGGATGTGGTACGGATTCGAACAGTAGCGTCTGACGCTGCCGACTCGTTTGTCAAATTCTATAGTTCCTCCGTCGGCCTTTTGAGAGTATCCCGCGCAATCCCATCTCTGGGCATGATTACAACGCGCCAGTGCAGCTTTTGAATTGCATTGCGCCAGATCCCGGACCACCAGGATTCCCCATCAGGAGACCAGGAAACTAGGATACCAGAAGTCCCCCGAGGAACCGCAGGAGCTGCGATTTCCCAGGCATAACCTAAAAAGGCACGTGCAGTGGCTGCGTAGAAGAGTTTTCTGCGTGCCACCACAGCCAATCGGCTCCTCTTCTCTCCTCACACAAACAAAAAAAAAAAACCAAAATTCCCGAAGACGAAGCCATGGCCACCCTCCTCAGCAACGGCCAGCAGTCGGTGATGGCCACCAGTAATGGTCAGGAGCAGCAGCAGCAGCAGCAGCAGAAGGACGAACCGGAGCAGCAGCAGGTCGAGATCAGAAAGTCGAGCTCACCCAAACCAGGCGCAATGCCCAGCTTGAAGCTGAACAGGATGGGCTCGGTGTCGCCGAAAGATAAACGCGTCTACAAAATAGTCCTAACTGGCGGTAAGTTTTTCCTGCCCCAAAAAAAGAAAAAAGAAAAAAAAAAGGTGGCTGTGATAACTCTGGGCTTTTCTGTGTATCTGTTACAAGTGTCCTCGTATCCTCGTGGCCCAACCACCCGATTGCGATTTGTTTACGATTTGTGTCAAGGTCGCGGTTCCCACGGAGGGGTAGAGATTGTGTCCTGCGCGCAGCTTCCCATAACTTCCCCGCTTAACATATTTTGTATTCATACAGCTACCGGCTTTTTTTTCTTTTCTTTTCTTTTTTGGACTCGGCGGCGCTTCAAAGCCCCCCCCCCGCCCTCCCACTGCTATTCATATGTAAAAACAGAGCCATAAAACCAGTTTGCCAGGCCATCATATGAGTAGTGGTTGGGCGCGCGTGGTCTAATCATTTAATTTGGCCCAAGTTATGGCTGTGATTAGAAGCCCCACAAAAAATAGCATTGATGTATTGGCGGGGCTATCTCTCTACACATACTCTTGTATTATCGCTTTGACGGGCGACTTCCACCACCCAGAATTCTATTAGTTCAGGAAGAGGCTGATAAAAGACAGGGGCTCTATCGCCACATGTGGCACTTTGTAGAAAATCCTCCGGGATTTACCCATTGAAGACCCATTCAAAGAATTGCTTATCGGCTGCACTGGGTCTGGGTTTGACGGGTCTGAACTCTTTGGAAGTGCATTCGGAATCGATTGCCACAGATCGCTGCGCAATGCATTCAGCAATGGGCGTAATTGCCTTCAGGGTCAGGCCACTAATCTAATCGAGTGATATGCTCATCGGCGAGGAACTTGGCTGCACTTGATTTATTGGAATTTGGGACACAAGTCTTAATAATTCGTTTCCGCACTATCAATTCAAATAATGAATAATAAAAGAAAATCATGCCAAGCTAGAAGTTTCACATATCATATCCAAAGTTATAGCTTCAGCAATTAAATTAATAATACGTTTCAATATTTGTAGGTATATAAATTAATCGTGAGATCTTCTGAAACTTTTACTTTAAAGTATATTTGAAATTAAACATAATTGAAAAGCATATGACCAGAATTTTGTTTAATAATTTGATTTCAAAGAAAGTTTCAACTTCAACAGCTGTACTTAAAAATACTCAGCTAGTAATAGTTATATTGTTATATTTTTTGTAAGGTAGTAGACAATAAATAGGAATTTAAACATTTTTTTACATAAAAAAGAAGTAAAAACTAATTTTACCCTACGATCCTAAAATGTGCTTACTCTTTCACAATTGAAATTAAATTGCTTTTTGGATATATGTTAATGCCCTTACGAACTTAATTAACTGGCTACTAATATTCCCTTTTAATGTATGTAAACTGTAAGCACGTGCAAAGTTTTTTATCGAATTAATTAAATGAATACTAGTTATTTAAAAATATTTAAATTTTAAAAACTACAATGACGTACTTTGACAAGGTGTTACCAAACAAATGCACAATGTTAACTATTGTTATAAAAAAAACTTTACGGGCATTTTTTGCACAATTAACAGCACACATTTCTCCCGATTCACCGTCAATCCAAACATTATATAATATAAGAACGCAACCGTAGCCATAGCCCATTTGTAAATAAACAAATGAATTTAATGAATATATTATGCATTTTCAGGGCCCTGTGGTGGCAAGACGACTGGCCAGTCCCGCCTGTGCACCTTTTTTGAGAACCTTGGATGGAAGGTGAGTGTCGTGGGTGTTTTGTCGTTGAGGGATGGGATGGGAATGTCGATCCTAGACTAAGGCAAGATAGCGATTGCTTTGGGCCGCGGGCTGCTCTGTAAGTAGAGGAGAATGTGAGGCCGTGGCTGCAGCGGGATTACCTTTAGATACTCCCACTTTACAATTCTATTGCCCCGAAAACTCGAAACAAAGCAATGAGCATGTTAAATATTTTCAGGTATTCCGCGTGCCTGAAACGGCCACTGTTTTACTCAGGTAAATTCTCTCTCCACACACTCTTACACTCAAAAATACAGAAATAAATAAAAAATAAAGTCAATCGAAGGCAATCAAAGCGAAAGGAGCCGCTCAGGAGGCCGCCACCTGAGATCGGACCGATTAGTTTTGCCTGCCGTTCGTCTTCTACCTGAGACGATCACCATTCCGATACACTCTTAATTCCTTTCGAGTTCCAATCTCGGTGCTCTTGAACTTTGAAATACCTCAATCTAGTGAATACCAATAGACTTTTATCGGAGAGATGCTAATCCCCCGTTTGTGTTTCTCTCTGTTTCTCCCCCCGACATCCGAATATCTAGTGGCGGCGTGAAGTTCTCCGATCTGACCGAGAAAGAAGGTAAGTAGAGGCGGTGCCTAGCGAACGTTAGACCATGGAAATGTTGGTAGTTGACGGAGCAGAGGAGAGGAGTCTTACATTGCAAGCATTTTCCGAGACCACATTACATTTTCCGAGCACTTTCAAGTTCGACACAGCGGTTTTCTCGAAGCAACGAAAATAAATCAAAATATTTACTTTGCTAGCGACCAAAGCGAACACAAAGAATCCTAATACTATACGTACGATATATGCTAGGCAGGTATTTTTAAAATCGGGCAAGTGCGACAGCCGCCATACTATAGATAGTACGAGTATATCGACTATATATCTGAGCATATAGCCAGAAGGCCCCCCCAAAAGAAAGTCACGTCTTCAATGAAACTTACGTAATTCCTTGGGACACGATTCGAATTCCCACTCGATATCCTGATTGCGTGACTCGAGGTCATTTCGCCAGCAGTCTTCCTTTTTAACTTTGCCAGGCAATTTGTCAATTATGGTTATTAATGGATTTGCCGAAGGTGGGGGGTTGAAGTTCGAAAATATCTAAATTGGCAAAAGCAACCATCAGATAAGATATAGAAAGTAACAAAGTCGGATCACATGCCCACCGATTAGTCGCCGCAATACCTTGCAAAGCCTTTATGAATAATGCTATTTGCAAGTAGGACAATTAAAGAGTCTTTATGAGTCACGACCGGACGGGGGAATCAACGAGTATATATATATAGTAATGGCCAGGGCTAATCTAATACCCAATCACACACCCTCACACAAAACCAAACCCAACCAAAACAAACGCCACCCACACTCACAGACCCGCCCACGCCAACCACGTTCGTTTACAAAGATCTGCCCTTCGCCGCTCCGGAGCACAGTCTCATCGACCTAACCGCATCCTGTCCGCGCTGCTTGGCCAAGGCTGCATCCCGGCCCAATGGCAGCGAAGGTGAGTGCGAGCTGTTGAGCCGGTGGAGTTGGCCACAGATCGATTGTTATCTGTTAACTGCCTTGTTTTGCATTCGCGCCGCTCTAACCAACCAAATGGAATCGAGTCCCAAAGCCAAGTCCTGTCCACCTGTGCGTGTCCTTAAGCTGCTACTATGTTTTTTTTTTTGTTATATTGCATTTACCAGCGGCATCGGATAAAGTCTTCAACAGATCCAACCGCATCTTTGCTTTGTGTCCGTCCCCAAATGACTTGACATTTCACCAAACAGACAGTCAGTTTGGCCCATGCAAACAACGCCACTCTTTTTTAACTCCAATATATTAATATATTATGTGTATTTCTCTGTTTGTTCTGGCTTCGTTCTATGATTTATGTGCGTCCCCATAACACTTGTGTCCACTCCACTAACACGTCGTAATAGCCGCATTTGTGTCTATCTAACAGATATGTATCTGCACATTTCAATAACAATATTTCACGTTAAGCCTCTGCAGTTCAGTTTTAGTCGCTACCATCTCAGCCAATTTAAATGGGCCAT